ATAATTAGCAAAAAATAGTTGAAATAAAGTGATTAAACAAAAATTATTACAAATATCGTAAATAACAGTTCACAAATGCATATATAGAGATATTTTTTGAAGGGGGAGAAATGGTCTTCACAATTTGAAATCGATCTAACACAATGCTCAAATGCTCGTGTAAACGCGCGCCATCTATCGTAGGATAAATGTACTTCGTGGGAGTGTATTAAAAAACTTTCCGAAGTTTTATGGCAATCGTACTATGCCACAAACTTTCGCCGGAGTATATTAAACAATTTCCCAAAGTTTCACGGCAATCGGATAAACGGTGTGGTAATGCATAAAGGACAGACAGACACACACACACACACACACACACATACATTCATTTTTATATATATAGATATGTAAGATAAGAAAAACTTATTTTAATTATAAAATATGTGAAATTTGTATTGTTTTACTATGAATTATTTATATATTTCTATATTTACTATGCAAATAAACCTTTGCAGATTAATTGTAGAGAAGTGTTTTGTGAAAACGGAGGAACATGCATAAACACAAAACCTGATGTTTTTTCTAATTTAGCTTACAAGTGTCATTGTGTATGTGGTTCGTGTGGACAAAAATGTGAAAAAAGTAAGTCTATTTTAAAGTCGAATATTCACAATTTTACTGTATAAGTAAGTAAATGCTTTACTTGTATTAATTAAAATTATATTGTGTTTTTATTGATTTGTTATTGGTTAAATATTTTTCTAGGAAATTTTCGCCATGTACCCAACAAAGGAATCGCTGAAAATAACATAGCCGAAGTGGAAGTATTCACCGTCGACCAATGTTTAGATTTGTGTCGTCAAAACAACAGTTGTAAATCAGTAGATTTTTCAATGTCCGAAAAAATCTGCTATTTGAATGCTTTTAATCACGAAGAGAAAATATTGCACTCTTTTGACCATATAGATTATTATTACCCTAATTGTCATTGCTGAGATTAGATTTATATTATATTAACTTAAGATTTAGAGAAAAGAAAATACATAGAAAATATAGTAAACTATATAATTAAATAAATTCAATATACTGTAGACTAAAATGCTAATTTACTATATTATTTAGTAAATATAAAAACAATGTTTTAGCAAAATTAAAATAATATAGAAAAGGTATTTCAAATACTTTTCTAGGAAAAATGTAGTAATAAATAAAACCAAAAATAGGTAAGTAATTTAAGAAAATAATGAAATTGATTTCGTAAAAGCGATTTAAGAACATTACAATTTCCTTATTGCTTATGAGTAAATTAATTATACTTTGTCATTTACGTCTATTGTTTATATTAAATAAATTATTAGAAAATTNTTATCTTATTATCTTAGTTTTTTATATCTTGTAATAGCGCAAGAAATTACATAGTTTCAGATAATTCAGTATAATTCAGATAATATTGTTCCCTCTAGCGTCCTATTTATATATCCCTCTAACAATTCAGATAATAATACAGGATGTTTTCCTCTAATATTCCTAGTTTTAAACTGTTCTATAAAATCCATTCACCTGACATTATCTCTGAACATTTTTCTCTATGGGCAAGTCAAGAATTTTGTCTTTACGAAAGTGTCAGACAAAAGAGCCCTGTATACAAAAATTGCAGTTGTCATTAACAGTGTGTTGCCACCACAATCTTACCTACGTGACAATGGAGGTCCAGATTGCCACCATGCAGCAGCACCCCTTTTGAATGTATGCAAAACTTGGAGTATTGACCAACCAACATTCTCTAGCAGATTTTATTCAAATATCTGAACAAATGGATTTTATAGAGCAGTTTAAAACTAGGAACATTAGAGGGAAAACACTCTATATACAGTATTAATCATCTATTGTATTTGTGTAAATTTGCCTTCTGTTTTCTTAATGTGGGGATATTATCAAACTATATAACAATGCAAGTTCAACTCATATTTGTAGATTATTTACAACTTCCAGATTTTTACTGTTTTTGCTTCATTACATTCCTTAAAAGAGAAATTAAGATATTATTTTATTTGCTGTCATCAGTTATGCTTTGATTTTGTTGGTGTGTTTTCTCAAAAACTTTTCTCAAAGCACGTTTTGATTGTTGAATGTTTTTTCAGTCATCTAATTTCCCTTCTGTGTTATTTCAAAATATAATGAATTTTATCGTCTCTGTTTTTAGCATACTGTAAACTTTTGTTTATATCAATTATTTATTTATGATGCTTTTAGAAGTAAGAGAAATTCATATATTTTTCCCAGGTATTTAAATGTGATTCGTATAATTTTAAGGAAGGCTTTACAATAAGGTATCGATTAAAGGTTACGAGAAATCTGAATGCAGTGCTATTTGGACGGCCGGATGACCGAGCGGTTAAAGCGGTAGACTACTGTTCTGGATACCAGGGATTGATAAACTTTTCGGAAAATTTTTCGGGGTGGTCGGTCCAGATATGTTGGATCGTCTATCACCATCCGGTCACCCCATTAGGAGCCTAGCCGAACCTGTAACGGGCTTGCTAAAAAGGAGCCCTCTTAGTGCCCATAGGATTGAGAGAGTTAAAAATATATATTATTTGGACTAATTGATAAGATAAGATAGCGCAATGCATGATTGAAATGTCAAAGAGATTCTTTCTGACAGTACATTCTATGGGAAGCTCTCCCTTATTTATGTATTAGACAGGTTGAGAAAACCTGAAAAACTCCAAGCGTTAGTCCTGGTTTCTCTCCTAACCAACTCTCGTTAGGAGCGAAATCTGGACCAACGCTGCTATACGCCATACTATATCATGCCACACCAAAACTTTGTATAGTATTAACTTGATAGTAATATTGAAATACAGTAATTGATAGCAAATTAAGACAAAACATCAACAAAATTGTTGACATCGTCACAATGCCGGACTGAAATTTTTAATCATATTTTTAATTTATTTAATCTAAAATATATGCTCTCGATTTTACTGTCTTCTCTCTGTAGATCAAACTTTTCCTGATAACAGTCATCTTTCTAACTTTGTTTTGGAGAAAATTTTTGAATTGAAATAACGTGACTTCCGTTTCAGACCGGAAAGTTTGTATATAGTTAATCGGAATCTCCTGCTCCTAAGTTTTCCATATTTAATCTATTTAATTCCGTTCTCGTCATTAAGGAAGGAAACTTAATGTTACAAAGTTTTATTATAAACAACTTTGTAAATAGTGTGCAATTTTAGTTAAATAGCATGAGTTAGAGACAAATGTATGGTGTGCGAAGGGTAAGCTTACTCAAGGTACTGCTCACCAAGTTTAAACTTACATCGCAGCTATAAATTGATTTTATTTTAATTTTTATTTAAAGTATTATATCTTCGAATTTTTGCCGGTTGCTCGAATACGGTTAACGAAGACCTACTATATTATGATTGTATAGTGAATAATTTTCCAATCTTCTTTAAAATGTTATTACAGGACGAATAAATATTAACATAAAAAAACAAATATGAATTACGAATTTCAAAACATAAGTATGCAAACAAATAGTGTAATTTTATCATTTCTTTAAATAATACAAAAATATAATAAGATATTTCAGAGACATTTATAACAATATATATGGAGTAGACTGTCGATTATCCGTAATAATCAGGATTGTACACTCAGAAACCGATTTTTTCAGAATTTTTTTTACCGATCCAACCACACACGGTAATAAAAGAATAAAAGATAAATATCTTAAGGCAGAGGTTCTTAACCAGGGTGTCCGGAGAAAGTTTTTAGGAGTCCATAGGCTTGGAAGGGTAAAAATCAACTTTAACTTTTTACGTTTAAATATTTTAAACGTATTGTTAAGAAAGAAGCACATATATTACTTTATCATTTGTGTTTATTTTAATAAATGTATTTCTATATAACTGTCCTCTTTAGTAATTTTATTTTAAGCATTTAAAAACATTATTTCGAGAATGGGTCCGTGACCTTCACTTGACTGGAAAAGGAGTCCATGGAATAAAAAAAGGTTAAGAACCTCTGTCTTAAAGTAAAAGTAAAATATTAATTTTAATTTTAGTATAATGGTGAAAGGTCAAGGCATAGAAATTTAATATGTATGAATGATAAGAAATAACGAAAAAACAAGTTCATTAAAAACACGAGATATTCTTTCGTTGCAATCTACAACGTACTTACGAAACTGAATTCAAAATAAAAAGTACATACACGTAAAATTAATAACAAAGAGAATGCTCAATAGTAGCCTATAAATGATCATCGACAATGGTTATTACGTAAAAACTTCGTAATTTCTAGAATTAATATTTTCTGAAATCCAGTAACGCAGTGTTTCCCAACGTGGGGCCCACGCCCCACAGGGGGCAATTGGATTGTTAAGAGGGGGAATTCGAAAATGGACTCGTTTAAAGTTTAAGTTAATCGTATAGCCCAAGCATGGCTAACATACGGCTCGTCTAATGAATTTATATGGCCCGCGTTTAATCTTTCAATATTTGCTACTCAAGTACGAATAGCTCGATGCAAAATTCTGATGCCTAAAAAAAAAGGTTAACAACTCACTGTGTGTTTAGAGTTAACGTTCCATTACAAATCTCATAAGTACAGCGTAGAATGTTGATAACGTGAAAAATGTATCTGTAATCTCTATGTATAGTTTAGTCTCTACGTGGTGACACCACAATGACATCTCGCACCACCTCAAAATCTTCCTAGGACAGCCTCTAGTTCGGCCCGTGAAATAAGTTTTCTTTCCAATTCGGCCCGGGGCAAAAACTGTTGGCCACTCCTGATATAGCCGCTGTATATGTTAGTAAATTCTTATGCATATGTATGCATAAGAATTTTAGAAAGGCTTAGGTGGGGCATAGCACAAAAAAGGTTGGGAAACACTGCAGTAACGAATTTAGAAATATAGCATCCCTAGGCCAACGTTCTGAACTTTCTTGAAACTAAATTCTTTAAATTCTTTAAATTCTCAAAATTCTTCATAATTCGGCAAAATTTTTTTATTTAAGTAAAAAATACAATGACAGTTAAAAGTACACTTTACTATACAACATATACACTATATTGCTGAGAATCATTTTTACTACTTTAACTAACGTTTTCAACCCGATCAATAGGCCATCATCAGGCTATCAGTTTACTGAAAAGTTTACAATCGTTCTATAATCGAACCAATATGCAATAACAAATTCGAGTAATATTCAATGAGTCTGAGTGTATGTCGAAGAATACGTTTTACTTTTTATTAACCGAAACAAAAGCAAATAGTTAAAAGTATGATATTAATTTATTGAAAAATTACATATTAAAATTCTTAAAAAAGAAAAAGAAAGAAAGAAATATATATCATTTGCTTTAATTTAACAAACATAAATTCTCATTTTCCTCTATTACTATATGAAATTTTCCTTTTTATTAATTTTTGATGTTCGTTTGTAATTATATAATTATGACCTTTCATATTATTAGACTGTAAGTTAGATCTAATAACGCAGATAGAATTTGAAAGATTTTTTTCCATTCTATTTCTTTTTACATCATTTATAATGGAGAATTTTCTTTCAGCCTCTGCATTAGAACAAAGCAATATGATCACAAGTAAGTTATTGCTAAACATAGTGCCGTAACTAGCCATTCCTGTGCACTGTGCAAGAATTTGCATTTAGGCTCCTTAATTAATTCGGTTTGGGAAAATAATAAAACAAATACATGCATTTTGGACCCCCTTCCAAGTGGGCCCTGTGCGGGTCCACCTGTTGCACCTGCCTAGTTACGGCACTGGCTAAACAGGTCAAGTTTCTAAAAAGAAAATCTCCATTACATCTGGATTCAAGTTCATGTCTTACTTAGAAGGATGAAGTACTGTACGTTGTCTTTCTCCTGGTTACTCGATTGTCTAACACACTCTCTCTTTAGAATAGTAGTTAAAAACTTCAAAACTACTGTTGTAAAGAGAGAGAGAGAGTTTCTGTTGTAGATTCTTTCATAAAAGATGTATTTTCAATGGACGCCCTAATAATTTTGATATTAGATTGAAGATTATTTTAACCACTGAGAAATGCAATGCTTTTTTAAAACTCTCTCCGTGCTGTGGTCACTAAGAGAGCCTCTTATTGCAAGCCTATTATGGGTTCGGCCAGCTCACAACGGGGCGGCGAGGGACGGGACCCTGACATATCCGGACGGACCACTTCCCAAAAAATTTCTGGGGATTATTCGATCCGTCTGGATTTGATTCCGGTTCTCCAGAGCGGTAGGCTGCACCTTGAAAGCTCGGTCATCTAGCCGAAAATGTAATGCTTAATAGTAAAACAATCCATAAACATCTTAAAAATTGCATTAATAACTTTAATTTCTAACGTTTTCGATCACGACTGAAAACGTTATTTATTTATGTGAATAATCATAAATTTAAAATTTAATTATAATATATTGCAAATTAAAAATTCAATGTTTCTTAACTATACAGTAAGATTTTCATGAAAATTTGAATACAAAATATCAGAAAAATAGAAATTTTTAATATTGCATATTTAATATTGAAAAAGCAACTAAAAAAATTAATTTACAGTAATAGCTCGGTTTTCGTTGACTTCGGTTATCGTCGGTTTCGGTTTTCGTCGATTTTTTCTGCGAAAAATTTGTCTCGGTTTACGTCGGTTGCCTCTAATTTCGTCGGCGTGCCTATGTGACCTCCTGCTAATGTTGCGAAAACAAATAGCAACCCACGTGTTTTCCTTGCTTAATGTGGCGTTGTTTCTCGTTGTGTGAGCATTATTACCCCGTGCCTCTAGCCAAACAATTCCATTGCTTTCCTTCCCTTTTTGCTCCACCATAGGACCGAAGAAAGTTTCAGAGCCAGCAGCCCTTTGAAGAAAGCTAGGAAGACGATCGAGTTGAAGAAGGAAATCATTGAAAAATACGAGAGCAACATTAAGATTGATAAAATCGGACTTTTTTAATATTCATTTTATATTAATTTCGTATTGTTTTTAATATTAAACATTATATTTATTCTCTATAAAATGTGTTTTTGGTATGTATTTTAGAGTGTCTAGAACGAATTACTGTAATTGGATTTACATTAATTCACATGGAAATAATTGCCTCAGTTTTCGTCGGTTTCGGATTTTGCCGATTGTTTTCGACGAATTATCGACGAAAACCGAGGTATCACTGTATAATGAAAAACTGAAGATTTTAAATAATTTAATCTCTATATTTATTCATGTTTTTAAACCACATTTCACAAATTTCATGTTGAATTTATTGTAAAGAAAAACAAAAAATATATTACGTCATTTACTTTTTATATTTTTTTATATATGTCATTTATACGTCATATATATATATATATATTTTACGTCAAAACATAAAAAATATATAACTGCGAACTAATTAAAATATGGCGGATGTGGTTTGTCAAGTTTTTCATTCGATAAAAGGCGCGAGAGATAAAATTACGTCCTTGACATAAATTATTTATATTTATATATAATTATAACAAATTAAAAATTTTAAACATAATTAAAATCGTTTCCTTTTTCTAAATACAATTTGCTTTTGTAGATTTGGTAATATTTGGGCGGAAATAATTTTTAATATTAAAGGAACGTCCGATAGGGTTCAGATGAGTCATTCCTCGTGTTTTAGACAGAAAATGTGCATGTTGTGTGTTTTCATATAATTAGTTTCGCTATTCAGACATTTTATTGTTGTGTTCACTACTGTATATTTATGTGATAGTTTATTTAATTAATAAAGACGAAAACAGCAAAAAATGGCTGTTGATATGTTAAGTTTGAATGAAATTGATCAAAAATTCCTACGTGACAATATGCTCACGTCTGAAGATTTGGAACTTGGTATGAATATTTTCATTACATTTTTAAATTTAAACACGTGGTATACTAAATGAAACCTTTCACAAGAGTAATGGAAGCATTATTACTTATTTTAAAGTTTGGACGTGACTTTATTATGCGTGTTCATTTCAATAAAGAAATATTTATATATTATGAATCAATATAAGAAGATTTTATCTAAACTTTTCATCTTTCGCAATTACTTTTCATCTATTCGGAGATGGGCTATTATTACGCGCCATCTTTATTTACTCCTGAAAATTAGCTATGTTGCGAAGGTTTATGGTTATGTTCAGTTCATTTATAATTAATAAAAGTGCTTTAATAAAATTAAAATAGCTTATTTACTGTTTTATATTATGTTTTATACAAACGATTAATTATATTTTTAAAAATTTATTCTTAAAATTAAAGAAGAAGCATACCAAGATTGTGAATATTATACATAATTTAAAAGTACATTAAATGTATAAAGTGGATCATTTCTATATAATAAAATATTTTAATATTTATTGACAAATGTTTAAAATCATAACATTTGCACTTATAAAAAAACAGCTGCAGTTGTAAACTTTAAAAGAAGTCATCATTTGTAAATGTAGAATTTTAATATAATTGTTTGATATGTAAAATTTATAATTTAGTATTAAACATATTTTTAAAAATAAATTTTGTAAGCTTAAAACTATTAATAGAATATTCTTGGCATTATATGACTACTGCATCATTATATCTAATCACTATTTATTAACAGGATAAATTAATAGCATTAACTTATTAAATCTTATTAATATGGAAGTTATGTGTGCAGTTAATATTTATTCTATGTTTTTGGTATTTTAAGATCTACTATATATCTTCTTTCATTTATTATCCTAAAGCCATGGTTATTTTAGCTAGGGCACTTGCACAATTTTTAGTGGTATCCTAATGAATCAGTATTGCATTAAAGATATTCTTACAATATTTATTAATGAAGAATCATATTGAAGATTTGCGTTATTTTATGTAAAAAATATTCAAATGATANTTTTTTTTTTTTTTTTTTTTTTTTTTTTTTTTTTTTTTGTAAAAGTCCAATTTTTGTTTAACAAAATTTGCTTTGTTGTAATAAATTTGATACTAAAATTATCAAAGTGACATCAATTTAAATGATGATATGCTGTCAAGCAAAAAATTGTTAAAATATTTTTAATAAAAATTGACTATTCCCGGTTATTTATCAATTATAACAGATAAAATATTTAAAAGAAAGTCATAAAATTATTTATTTGTAGCTTTTATTTGTTTATATTTCATATATATTTTGTTTTTTAAAAATGATAAAAATTGAGAAATATAATGAGTTAGAAACAGTATTGATTGTTGGTAGTTGTCATGTGAAGATTGATGAGTAGAAATCCATGGATTGAAATAGCATGACATTATAGTTGTTTTGTTTGGATACTATTCCAAACATTGTAATGAGATAAATATATGTTAAGTATCTGATTTTTATTAATTGAAAAGATAATCAAATTTTTCTTTAATAATTCTTACATGATTTATGATAAAATTTAAAATTATCATCAAATTTGAAAATTATTCTAAAATTTAAAATCAATTTGTAAAAAAATAATTTTATGTATAATAATCCAACAAAGACACCTAACACTTACCTCTAATACCAAATTTGTTTGTATTAATTATTTGATTATAGCCATATTATAGCTCGAATATTTAGGCGGTTCTTGGATTATTATATTAACTCATCAGGCTTTGAGATGTGTATTATAATTTTATGTATTCAGTTAATTTAGAATAATAATATACAGTTTAAAAAATTTGTTACTTTTGTCATTAAAATTAATAAAAATTTTAATGACAAAAGTAACAAATTTGTTTCCACGTTTTTGTTTAGTTTAAAAATAAATTTTACATTTTTTAAAATAATTCTTTTCCAAAATAAATTATTATCTCACATTAATTTTATGCTTATATGCTTCAGTATAAATGAAAGATGGAGCGGTTAAGATGACAGCCTACTGCTATGAGGGCACAGGATTGAATCTGGAAGGATTGAAAAACTTCAGAAATTTTTTGGGGTCTTTTGGATATGTCATATCCAAAAGACCCCATATCTCACCACTCAGCTGTCCATTGTGGGTCATAGGATAGAAACAATTTAAAAAATAATATATAGACCAGTGTTTCTCAACGGGGGCGATATCGCCCTCATGTGGGCGTTTTTCCATGTTGAGGGGGCGTGCGAACTAATTAAAATATGGCGGATGTGGTTTGTCAAGTTTTTCATTCGATAAAAGGCGCGAGAGATAAAATTACGTCCTTGACATAAATTATTTATATTTATATATAATTATAACAAATTAAAAATTTTAAACATAATTAAAATCGTTTCCTTTTTCTAAATACAATTTGCTTTTGTAGATTTGGTAATATTTGGGCGGAAATAATTTTTAATATTAAAGGAACGTCCGATAGGGTTCAGATGAGTCATTCCTCGTGTTTTAGACAGAAAATGTGCATGTTGTGTGTTTTCATATAATTAGTTTCGCTATTCAGACATTTTATTGTTGTGTTCACTACTGTATATTTATGTGATAGTTTATTTAATTAATAAAGACGAAAACAGCAAAAAATGGCTGTTGATATGTTAAGTTTGAATGAAATTGATCAAAAATTCCTACGTGACAATATGCTCACGTCTGAAGATTTGGAACTTGGTATGAATATTTTCATTACATTTTTAAATTTAAACACGTGGTATACTAAATGAAACCTTTCACAAGAGTAATGGAAGCATTATTACTTATTTTAAAGTTTGGACGTGACTTTATTATGCGTGTTCATTTCAATAAAGAAATATTTATATATTATGAATCAATATAAGAAGATTTTATCTAAACTTTTCATCTTTCGCAATTACTTTTCATCTATTCGGAGATGGGCTATTATTACGCGCCATCTTTATTTACTCCTGAAAATTAGCTATGTTGCGAAGGTTTATGGTTANGATAAAATATTTAAAAGAAAGTCATAAAATTATTTATTTGTAGCTTTTATTTGTTTATATTTCATATATATTTTGTTTTTTAAAAATGATAAAAATTGAGAAATATAATGAGTTAGAAACAGTATTGATTGTTGGTAGTTGTCATGTGAAGATTGATGAGTAGAAATCCATGGATTGAAATAGCATGACATTATAGTTGTTTTGTTTGGATACTATTCCAAACATTGTAATGAGATAAATATATGTTAAGTATCTGATTTTTATTAATTGAAAAGATAATCAAATTTTTCTTTAATAATTCTTACTGCTAAAACTTAAAACTATTAATAGAATATTCTTGGCATTATATGACTACTGCATCATTATATCTAATCACTATTTATTAACAGGATAAATTAATAGCATTAACTTATTAAATCTTATTAATATGGAAGTTATGTGTGCAGTTAATATTTATTCTATGTTTTTGGTATTTTAAGATCTACTATATATCTTCTTTCATTTATTATCCTAAAGCCATGGTTATTTTAGCTAGGGCACTTGCACAATTTTTAGTGGTATCCTAATGAATCAGTATTGCATTAAAGATATTCTTACAATATTTATTAATGAAGAATCATATTGAAGATTTGCGTTATTTTATGTAAAAAATATTCAAATGATATTAAAATGTTGAGAAACAGTTAGCATTTTTCAATTATTTTTTGAAATTTTATGGTATCTCTATGAGAAGCACTAGTGTACTCTAGCACAGTGGTTCTGAAATTTTGGTGTGGTCTACAAGCACACACCAAATGACAAAGTAATTTTTCCAAAATGCAATTCTATGCCATTTAAGCATTTTAATAACATTTTTATGCATAACACCTCTCTTAAGTTAGATTACCAGATAGATAAAATATTTTGGTACACAATCCATCATTATCTAAGGTTATATTTACAAGATAAGTGGATGAGGTTCATCTTTGACTCTGTTTAACTGGTGTCTATGGAACATAACTTTGAAAATCACTGTTCTAGCATATTAGTTGAGAATCAATGTTGTAGACTTTTGCCTTATATCCTTCAATATATGAAGTTTTGGGTAAAAAAGAATAAATATAGAGTTAATCTGTCATTGTTATATTATTTTCTTTTACAAATTTAATGCTTATAAGTATTATCTTTGATTTAAATAAAAAACAAACTAAAGTAAATTTAAAATGCAGGAGTCGGAGTCGACACATTTTTTCCGACTCCGACTCCACAGTCCTGCTTATACAGTAACTCTTTACTTTGCGACGTATTTACATAATAACAACCGCAATAACATTCATTATTTTAATTTGTTTTTAAACATTTATACATCATACATTATTCATCAAGACCGAAGGTAATGGTTGAAATAAATAATTTGTCTTCTTTTGTAAAAATGAAATTTAATTGCTTAATGTCTATTAAAGCTCTTTTAATAGCTCAATTACAGAAAATTTATTTGAATATTTGATAAAGAATATACATGTATGTCNTTTTTTTTTTTTTTTTTTTTTTTTTTTTTTTTTTTTTTGTAAAAGTCCAATTTTTGTTTAACAAAATTTGCTTTGTTGTAATAAATTTGATACTAAAATTATCAAAGTGACATCAATTTAAATGATGATATGCTGTCAAGCAAAAAATTGTTAAAATATTTTTAATAAAAATTGACTATTCCCGGTTATTTATCAATTATAACAGATAAAATATTTAAAAGAAAGTCATAAAATTATTTATTTGTAGCTTTTATTTGTTTATATTTCATATATATTTTGTTTTTTAAAAATGATAAAAATTGAGAAATATAATGAGTTAGAAACAGTATTGATTGTTGGTAGTTGTCATGTGAAGATTGATGAGTAGAAATCCATGGATTGAAATAGCATGACATTATAGTTGTTTTGTTTGGATACTATTCCAAACATTGTAATGAGATAAATATATGTTAAGTATCTGATTTTTATTAATTGAAAAGATAATCAAATTTTTCTTTAATAATTCTTACATGATTTATGATAAAATTTAAAATTATCATCAAATTTGAAAATTATTCTAAAATTTAAAATCAATTTGTAAAAAAATAATTTTATGTATAATAATCCAACAAAGACACCTAACACTTACCTCTAATACCAAATTTGTTTGTATTAATTATTTGATTATAGCCATATTATAGCTCGAATATTTAGGCGGTTCTTGGATTATTATATTAACTCATCAGGCTTTGAGATGTGTATTATAATTTTATGTATTCAGTTAATTTAGAATAATAATATACAGTTTAAAAAATTTGTTACTTTTGTCATTAAAATTAATAAAAATTTTAATGACAAAAGTAACAAATTTGTTTCCACGTTTTTGTTTAGTTTAAAAATAAATTTTACATTTTTTAAAATAATTCTTTTCCAAAATAAATTATTATCTCACATTAATTTTATGCTTATATGCTTCAGTATAAATGAAAGATGGAGCGGTTAAGATGACAGCCTACTGCTATGAGGGCACAGGATTGAATCTGGAAGGATTGAAAAACTTCAGAAATTTTTTGGGGTCTTTTGGATATGTCATATCCAAAAGACCCCATATCTCACCACTCAGCTGTCCATTGTGGGTCATAGGATAGAAACAATTTAAAAAATAATATATAGACCAGTGTTTCTCAACGGGGGCGATATCGCCCCCATGTGGGCGTTTTTCCATGTTGAGGGGGCGATTAGTAACAATTTATATTTTGGGGGACGAAAAACAATTTTCTGGGTGATATAGTAAAACATTATATTAAGAATAATTAGATATTTTATTCGTTATATCGTACAATAATTAAACAAATAACATTACACTAGTCACTAGTATATTCAATGCAGTACAAATTTGGCGTTAGTCTTGGCCCTCGGCATCGGTATTTTGTAGTGAAGGGAGCAATACTATGTAACGGTTTTACTGAAGGGGGCGATACTATGTTGAAGGGGGCGACGATTCGTTAGAGGTTGAGAAACGCTGATATAGATTGTATATATAAAAAATATATAATATGCTTTTTGTTTATTTATACACAAAAGAAACTGATTATTTAAATACTAGACAAAAATTTACTCTGTACTGTAAATTTTTTATTATATAAATATGAATTGATTATAACAACAAATTCAAAATGTCAGTTTATTTCCATTTTTCAATATGATTATGAAGAGGAAAATAAATGACATTTAATCAGACAGATATTTTCAAGATTGGTCTAATTTTATACGATTATTTAACTACATAGAATTTACTTTTTATTTTTAAATATATTCTATACAGAAAGTTACATATGTATGTATGAAGCTACATTTTAGCAGGTCTTTTGCAGTTATTGTAAGATTCTAAAAAATCAACATTGAGAATCTAAATACAAAACTAGTAAGAAAATAAGTGAATTTTAGAAATCTTTAAAGCAAAATTGCAAATCTACAAATATCATATTTTTATAGAATTGTAATTTTCTCAAATTTTAGTATTTTTATAATAGTGTTTAGAATAATGAAGTACTTATCTGTATTTAAGAGAAATAAATTTTGAAAAGTTTTATAGAAACTAAAAAAATTATTAAATTTTTTCCCCTATTTTCAGATTTAGGTAATTTAGATTTTGATTTAAAAAATGAAGATGCTTTATTTAAAGAGAATAAATTTCTGGTAAGTTTTTGTTTCATAAAAGTATTTTATTCTGTGTTATAAATAATAATTTTTTATTTTTTAAATACCAACATATTGATTATCAAAAATAATACCATTTATCACTAATGATACATAATGGAAAGCAAATGTAAAAAATATAAATAACACGAAAAGTGTTCAAGTGCTTCTAGTCTTTGATGTTTGTCAACTTTGTTGTCATGGAAACTAAATATTGAACTAGAATATGTGACCATAGTGATGATCAAATGTTTTACTGTATATTTTTTAATTTTAATATCAAGTTTACATTATTTCAATTATTTAAACATGTTGCAAAATTTGATTATTGTTGCTTTGTTACAGATCAATATTTTGTCTCCATGACAATGAAGTTCTGAAAATGTTTTTGAAGATGAGCATTGTAGCTTGAAAACTCTTGGAAATTTTTTTTAATCTTTTTGTTATTTTGTTAAATTTTATTTTCATTTAAATATCATTAATATTCTTACATAGCCATAGTTCTGATTGTCATTATTCAAAATGTTTTCATGTGATGACATTTACAAATAAAGTTCAAGCTAATAAATCAAATTGTTTTTTTTTAAATTCTCAGTTTTCGTTTTCAAACTACAAATTAAGATTTTAATACAATTTGAAATATTTATTAACATATAAAATATAAGAGAAATTTTATTTTTTATTATAGGAAATTTGTCTGCTTTTAATATATGAAAGTTAAAATATATTTGTTGTTTATTTTTTATTTCAGTATTTTAAATATTAATAAACATTGTTTTCTAGCTTCCAGATAATTTTGATATAGAATCTCAAATCTATAGTAATATCTGTCCATCTCCATTATCAATAAGTAACGGATCTTCTGGAATAGATATCAAAGAAGAACCTCCTTCTCCACCAATTATCCAATTACAAGATCAATCCATATGGTCATCTGAGGTGAAGTTGTTTTTAATGTATTCTACCTATCTACAGTAATTTAAAATTATATTATAAAATTGCAAAATAAAACTCAAACAATCTACAAAAATTCAAGTCTAAAAATTGAATGTGGAATATTATGTTCTTGTTTCTATTGATGATGAGTTTAAAAAGTTTGAAATACTTGAGCTAGCTATAAGAATAGTTTCTTGCTGGTTTCTCCAATAAAATACCTTAAATTGCACTAATTATTATATGAATGTTGGTATGTATGAACTAGTATTTTTATATTAATCAGTTAGAATGATACAGATTATGTTAGACCATTTTACCTGTAGTAACATTTAAAACTGACAGTATATTTGTGTTGTCATTGGATACATACTGAATGATATTGATGAATGCACTCATTTCAACATTGTTCTAGTTTCATTTTTTGTCAATTGTACTTAATATAATTTTTAGTGGAAAAGGTAAGTATTACTTAATGCGTAAATGATGTTTATGTGATGTTCAGTGGTCACCAAATTGAGATGCATTCACTGTTAAAAGTGAATAAAAATTTCGAGTTCATAAGAAACTCTGAAATTAGTTAATATTATTTTTTATGTGTAAAGTGAGTTTATAATCTGAAATATAGTAAAACCTAGCTAGTTTGAACCAGGTTTTCCTCAATTAGTTCAATTAGTTTGGTTTTAATTAGTTACTATATCTATTATATTTCTGTACTAATAGATAGGATGATTGAACACACTTGCTATTGGTTAGATATATATATACAGTACTTGTTAACTTTATTTTAAATATAAAGCTTAAAATTTTTGGATGATTTCTACAGTATGAGATGCATGCTTTTTGTTTTATTGATAAAAGGGAATATGATCAATAAATACAATTAGTATTTATCTGACACAGTCCCTTTTAATTTGTGTTCTTTCAGGTCCCTTCAGATAGATGCACTCTTCTGCCAATTAATTTGTTTAATTGACATGTTAAAATTATGAGCCATATTACTTGTAAAGCTACATTCCCATTTGTGGAAAAGTAATGCAGAAACAAAAATCTGAAATTTCTATTCAGGTAGCACAGAAAGGGTCCAGAAAATTGAGTTTAAAAATGTTTTAACTCTTGTTGTTAAAAGCAGAAACAAAGTTGGTAGCCAATATAAAATAAGGACAAAATAAAATTGACATTTTGTTTTTAAATAATTAACACAACAGTGTAGCAGCATTACAATTGCAGTTTATTAACATAATTAAGAAGTACTCACTAGTACTTTCAATGGCTTACAGCCAGCATCTTCAGGTGAAAAACAAATTGAATACAGTTAATTTTTGAACATTTGGTTATTTGAATGGACTTTTTTTAAAAATTAATCAAGGTATGTGATAGAATACAGACAAAATTAAATTAATGTTTTTTTTAAATTTTAATTTAATTTAATTTTGTTTTTCACCTGAGGATGGTGACTGTAAGCTGTCGAAGGTACTAGTGAAGGTACTAGTGAATATATCTTAATTACACTGATAAATTGTAATTGTAATGCCACTACACTGTTGTGTTAATTATTTTATATAATTGTTGACATAAAGTGTCTTTTTACAATTATTATGACGTTTTATTTTGTAACAACAATCAATTTATAAGGAAATGCAAATATAATGTTGTTTTAGAAACTTTTTAGATATATGTCAATATTTAACTTTTGAAAAGATGCACAAGGGATTAATTAATCCTGTCAAATTTTGAATTCCTTACAAGATTGTCTTCAAAATGTTATATTATTTATTACATTTGGAAGTGGTGTTTCTTTTCAAAATGGGTTATAATGTTAAAAATACAGGTTTATATGAGATGTCACAGAACTTTTGCACCGAGCTATAATAACTTTAGTCTTCCATTTTCCTAACAGTCTTAGTCCTAGATCTAATGAGCAAGTGCTATGATACATTATGTAAATAATATACCATAATATGCTTTTTGTTTATTTATACACAAAAGAAACTGATTATTTAAATACTAGACAAAAATTTACTCTGTACTGTAAATTTTTTATTATATAAATATGAATTGATTATAACAACAAATTCAAAATGTCAGTTTATTTCCATTTTTCAATATGATTATGAAGAGGAAAATAAATGACATTTAATCAGACAGATATTTTCAAGATTGGTCTAATTTTATACGATTATTTAACTACATAGAATTTACTTTTTATTTTTAAATATATTCTATACAGAAAGTTACATATGTATGTATGAAGCTACATTTTAGCAGGTCTTTTGCAGTTATTGTAANCTTTTCAAAATGGGTTATAATGTTAAAAATACAGGTTTATATGAGATGTCACAGAACTTTTGCACCGAGCTATAATAACTTTAGTCTTCCATTTTCCTAACAGTCTTAGTCCTAGATCTAATGAGCAAGTGCTATGATACATTATGTAAATAATATACCAAATTAAGCTTTTTAAGAAAGCATTTCGGATCACAGCAAATTTAAATGTAATTGTATTTAAATTATATAAGATTTATTAATTGAATTAAAAATTCTGTTTAATGAAAATATGATGAATATATATTATTTTACTTTCTTATGAATTTTAGGATTTCTGTCCTTCCATTAAAGTTCTTGACTGTGATAAACAGATGGAGATTGAAGTTCCAGAAACACCTCCAAATACACCTCCAGGAATACAAGAAGTATGCACTTCTCCAGTTCCTTCTACTTGGTCTAATACAAACCCAGTTATTACACTAGTTAAAACAACAGTACCAAATTCTACTACTGTGACTGTTACTCCAACTGTTAGAATTCAACCAAAGAAAACTACACCAATTAAAGTGGAAAAATTGCCTTGTAAGAATGTCAATTTTTAACTATGCTCTTTAATTTTGCTAATTTTTTAAAATCTTATATAAATAGATTATAAATTCAAATTTTTATGTAATTTTTGACAAGACTATGTCTTGTTTATAAAATCGTACTGCCAGTTTATGTTGCCGGCTTAGAGGTATGAAGGAGTACATGTCGAGAGTGATATTTGGCACAGAGTATTAGGTGCACAAATCATTTGTGCATAAAAAAAACCAGAATTATAGGTAGTCAGGGGACCAAGAACCGAGTCAAAATAAAATACAAAATGGCAATCCTCTTCTACAAACAGGCAAAACAGGCACCTCACCCCACCAAAGTTAGATGGGGGAGAGTACCACCCACAGTCATTCTAAGAAGTGAACTATGACCTTAGGACTGAACACATAGGGTACGTTCATTAAGTCGAACGAATTAAACGCGTTAGTAACGAATCGTTCGAAAAGTAGTAGTCTCGCTCAGTGCGCATGCTCTGCGGTGATGACGTTTCGAACGAAACTCTAACGAAGTTCACGAAGGAAAGAGTTGGTTTACTTCGTTAAGAAAATGGCGTCCAACAGCATCGATTTTTCTGATATACTTCATATGTGCGCTAATTGTGGATTGAAAGGAAATAGGTCACAAATAACGAAATGTTTGAATGTACAGAAATGTGGAAATGAGAATGGTAAGCAGAGCTCTTTTCTTATTTTTTTTACCTTAAATAAAAATTAACATACGAAATTTCATAAAATCTTATACTGTATTTTATCCTAATTACTTTTTTACAAAAACTACACATCTGCATAAGATATAAGTACAGTATATAATAAAGGAACATACCATTATAAATAATTATTATGTCAAGAATTAAGAATATTAATGATTATATCTGATGCTCAAGTAATATTTCTAAACAGTTGATACATTTTGTACAGTTTTTCCTTAATTATTGAAGTTAATATAGAACAATTAATAAGCTTTTTGTCCTCTTAGAAATAAGTAAAGTAGCACAATTATTCACTTTTTGTTGGGACTTATCACACACTGAGTTGGATTATAAATCCCAACAAAAAGTGAATAATTGTGCTATGAAGTTAATATGTTAAATAATAAATGAATAGTAGCTGAATAAATTCAATATGTTTATATTTAAAAAAGAAACATATGCTACAGAACAGTAGGTGATAACATACAAGGCTAGGGCATCTAAGCATGAAAAATAAGTGATATCTTTAATTATTTATATGACTTTTAGGACCTAGATGTCTTAGCTTTAATAATAAATCAATTCATATTAATATCAGTTTTAATTAGAATATTTTATTACTTATATGAAGATTAATTTGAACAAGCTAAGTGTTCTTTTGTTGTACAAATTAAGCATTTTGCTTTTAAAATAGACATTTTTAATTTAAAAACTATAGTAATCTTAATGTTTAGCTTGATCAAATTTAGATCTGTCTCATCTAAAATGTGATTAAACACATCTATATACTTTTTAAACATAAGCAGTAAATATAATTAACTTATTTATGTTTTCAGTTGATCCAAACATAAGACAGACAACAGATGAAACTCCTGGAGGAAGTCAGTCTGTGTCATTCAGTTGGAGTGATGAAACAACACGCTTGCTTCTCAATCAATATAAAATGAATGAGAGCATGTTTTCATCTCCTCATTTTAAAAAAAAGCAAGTGTGGGAAAAAATAGCCAATAGCTTTAAAAGCTATGGCTATTTTGTAACACCATTACAATGTGAAAATAAATTTAAATCTTTAAAAAATAACTATAAAATAATAAAAGATGATAATAATAAAAGTGGGTCAAGCAGGAGGAAGTGCCGTTATATGGCTGAATTAGATGAAATATTCGAAAAGGATCCAGCGATACAGCCTATTTCTTTAGCTAGTTCTTCCTCTGGATTTAATAATTCTGTTATGGTAACAGAAAATGAAAATAATACAACTCAGGAAATGCCATCACCTAAAGCATCTGCAAAGAAAAAGTGCAGGAAAGAAGAAGAACCGGAATGGTTTAAAAATTACAGAATTAGTGTTGAAAAACGGCATGAAGAAAATATACAAATAAAAAAATTATTATTAGAAAAATTACAGCAGTTAATTGATAAATTGTAAAACCTTTTGTAAATAAAATATTGATTTATAGTTTGAATGTGTTTTAAGTTGCTTTACGGTGGTTAAATTAATTGTAAATAAATCACTAAAATATTGAAATCATCGTTTGTGAACTCAACATGAAAACTTTTATTTTTCTATGAAATGACAACAAAGAATAATTTTCTAAACAGATATTACATTGTACAGAAATACTGTAATTATCAAACATGATTTCTGATAGCTTAGAAACTATCAGAAATATGTTGTCTTTTTCTTTGAGCAGCACTGTTATATTGTATATTAGATGATTCTGTTTCAAGAGTTTCATCATCACAATTAACTGTGTCAAATTCATCAAAATCATCCCCTGCCATCAAACAAATGTTATGAAGTACACAGGCTGATAATATGTAGAGAGGCAACATTGATGTTTTATTTGCATCAAAATATTTTAACCGTCTAAATCTTCCTTTTAATAATGCAAAGCTCCTCTCAATAACAATTCTGCTTTTTGACAGCTTATTATTATATGTATGCATTTGAGCAGTTAGGTGACCATTATTTTTAAATGGTACCATCAATGACACCATAAATGGGTAGGCAGCATCTCCCACAATGTGGTAATCTGATAAGGAAGAATCATTAAGTTTCTGAATCACTTCAGAATTTCTGAAAACTCTGGCATCATGAACAGAACCAGGGAAGCCACAATAACAGTCTGTAAAAACTAAGTTATGGTTGCAGACTGCCTGCAAAATTACAGAATGAAAATTCTTCTGGTTTACATATTTTTCCGCTGCTTCACTTGGAGCTTTAATAGGAATATGGCACCCATCAATTGCCCCAATTATACCTGGGAAGCCAGCTATATTTTTAAATTTTCTGGTTAAATAGGCATATTCTTCCAATTTTGGCCATTTTATAACATCACTTGCCATTTTTACGAGTTCAGTACAAACTTTATTCAGATAGCTATACAGGGTAGATTTTGAGATGTTGAATCTGTCTGCTACAGACCTATAATGAAATAAAAAAGTTATTAATTATACTTAAATTTAATAAATACCAATATATATACCATACAAATTATTTGTATTAACTTCATTAAGTTTAACAGACTCGAGGAATTTCTTTAAGAAAATTATAAATTTATTTTTATTTGTAAATCTTTAATATTGGCAAATTTCATACATAATTAGTAACAATGAATGATGTTATCACTTAACTATTGGCTTATCTAATTATTTAATAAATTTAAATACAGTATTTAGCTTTAAACTTTATTAAGTAGTTTATTTTACCTGAATGATTCCTGATTTGCTAGAAGCCAAATTACCGACAAAATTTGCTTGTTTGCATCTAAACAAGGTCTTCCGAAAGAATTGATTAATTTAGGTTTTAATTTTTCCAAAAGAATTTCGAAAGTGCATCTCTTCATTCTAAAATGACATTGGAAATCGTCACTTAAATATGAAGGAACGACACTTTCTACGTATCCTTTTATACGCAGTCTCCTTTTTCTCCTTTTTGAAGTTTCTAAAATGACATAACTTTTGATCTCGTCTTCAGAATCATCCGAAAAAAATACTTCAGACACAATCGCAGTAACAATGTTTAAAACTTCAGATCTTGAAACGGCCATTTTCTAAACGAATCGTTCGGAAAATCTAACGAAACAAGAATAACGATGACGTCATTCTCGTTTAACTCGTTCAACTTTACGAACGTACCCATAGTTTCTTCTATGTTAAATAAAATTTGTAATCTAATTTTGTAAATTTGGGAGTGCTTCAAATATGACATTAAAACAGGATGTTGTTACAAGTAGGTTTTTTTAACATTATTTAGTATAGTAAAATTGTGGAACTGATAAAAATTTGACGTTATATTAGGGTTGTCGTTACATCCCATGACATTATAATTGGGTTAAACTGTATATTGTTTGTGCAAAATAAAAAATAATTTCAGACAATACAATAGCCACGATTATTTTTTTCAAAAACAGGATATTTTCATTATGCGTCGACAAAAATTCAACCCAGGCTGACATGCAACGAAGAGAAATTTCGAAATTGGATAGGTTAATTTCATCGAAAATGCATCATGGACGACTTCGTGGTTGTGGCCAGGAAAGTTTGAACAATCGCGCCCAAAAGCAGCGATATCAAAGAAGATTGGAGAATGATAACAAGACCCACCTTGAGCGTCAAAGTGATTCCGCTTAGTAGTGAGTCTCCAAGACATAGTCTTGTTCCAAATATGGTTTTGTTGTTTTACCTGTTTTTGCTTACAAGAAAGTTACCTGTAATCAAATTAATTTGTATGTAATTAGTTAGCCTTAGTATAGCCCAGTAGATAATCTGACAATTCATTTACATGAAATTTGAATTCTTTCATGAAAAAATTTATGATTAAAGCCAAAGATATTAAAAAAATTATGCATTTATATCTATTATTGTTGCAAAAATTATGCAAATCAATGTCAGCCATAGTAAAAAAATTAATAAAAAATATATTAATTTCAAAAATTAAATAAGAAATTAAAAAATAAGTTGTTAATTAATGATAACAGTAATAGATTTTTAAATTTGAAATTACAACATATACAGTTTCACCCATTCAGAGAATCTTTAATGTCTTAAACACAGTACATACACATCTTAAAATGAGTATTAGAAGAAAATACAAAACCCTAAAGTAAGATATTTACAAGATAAGATGAAAATGTTAAAGTAGACTGGATGCTGTGTTTCTGATCAAAGTGTCATGAAGGTGTTTTGTATCAGTACGCTCGTATGACATTAAAAGAAATTGGAAGGAAACATCACACTATGTATTGAAACAAGATAATCCATGCTTTTTTGTAGGAAAATGAAAAAGAACATTAGAAAATGAAAAAGAACATTAACATTAAAATGAATAACATTGATGAGGCAGTATTTCAGTTGTATAAAACACAATGCTGTAATGGAGTTCTTATTATCAGAGTGAAGTCAATCTCTAGCAAGATTTGCATAGAGATTTGGACAAACTGATTTCAAGGAATATTTTGGTTGGCTTTTTAGATTTCATAACAGGCATGGCATTTTAAACAGGAAAGTCTGGAGTAAGTGCTAATGCTGAAAATGATAAAATCATTTTGACAAAAATTAAGACATCTTAAGGGAGGAAAACATGTCTTTGGCACAACTGTACAATGCTGGACTATTTTGAAAATCTGTTCCTGAGAACACTTAAATCAAAAGGAAGGATAGTTCAATAACTAGAAGAAAGCTGAATAAGGAATGCATTATGGTTCTTGTGTGTGTTACTGGTGACAGATCCCATCGCATAAAATCTATCATAACAGGAAAAGCAGCCAAATCAAGATTATTAAAGATGTCCTTGAAAATTACTATTACAAGTGTGGGTTACACAAGAATTATTTGATGAATTTCACTATTGTTTTGTACCTAGTCTGAAAATTCTAAATGGAGCATTTAGGTTTTAATCAAGAAGAAGTTGATGTTAGACATTGCATCCACTTGTCCTTCATGTGATCTTTTTAGTAGTAAAGATGGAATAATTGAATCCCTATTTTTTGTACCAAACACTATCTTGCTGATCTAACTAATCGACCAAGGGACTATTCTTAAATGTAACCTCCTCTGTCGATATAAACAGCTTGATTGATATTCTTTGAAGATGAAAGCAGTAAGAACAATGGAAATGAACAGAATTTAATGAAACTAAAAACTTTAGAAGTGTCATATTCAGTTGTGCTAGTAGATGAAATGAAATTAAAACTACAATGCTTCAAAATGCATGGAAGAAACTTATAATCAGCAGATAAAGTTTGATCTTGAAGGTTTGGAAGATGCATTAGGATATCAATTGTAGATGAAGTTCATAATTGGTTGGATAAAGATAAAAACATGATAAAAGAAAAGTTAATAGAAAAAGTACAGTACTAATAAGGGGACTACTAAAGGTGGTCTTCTTTGATTTTGCGACATTTGATATATATATTGTAGGAATATCTGATAAAGCCACTTGATGCAACAGTCAAACACTTGTGAGAAAAATGAATTAAAATTTTTCCATGTTCCTTATGAACAATGTTGTACAGAAAAAGTGTCAGTAGTAGCAAAGTCAAGTGGGTTTAACTATTATACTGCAAGTTACAGGTTTGAATCTTACTTTTTTCAGTGCTGTTTCTAATCAGCATTGAATTAGATTATTGTGCAACATGCTTTTAAAATTTTTAATAAAGATAAATTATTATTTTTTAATTATAACATTTCTTTGCTATGCAATAAAGAAATATCACATTTTATTTATTTGTCGAAACTGTGTCGTCGTCTTCTTGTTTTGTTTGGTTCATTGTCACGACTTGGTGAATTTGTTGACACTTGGCAAATTCACCAAGTCGTGACATTGAACCAAACAAAATTTCAACTTATTTTCCATTTTTGCCACAGTTTTTATTTTTACACATTGTATTATAGTTCTGTGATAATTAGATATTATCAATGACAGAGTAAGATCATTGTGTGTTTTAGTGTTTTACTCATTTTTTACTAAGTTTTACCAATAAAACACCTTTAATAATCCAGCAAATAAATATTAGTAAAATAAAAACGTTTTTGACTGTTTTCATTTTCTGTTATTTATATTTTCATATTTACATTCTATTTTGATGTTCTGTTTTTATGTTAATTGGGGAAGATCGTTAAAAAATGGTCAAAAACGTTTTTATTTTACTAATATTTATTTGCTGGATTATTAAAGGTGTATTTTATTCATATTATAGTTATCCACTATGTACAGTACATTATATATAAGTTTTACCTTCCATTTTTACCAATTTTTTTTTTTTTTTTTGGTTCTGGTTTTAATAGTATACAAAGTTTTAGTTTTTATATATTATGTTATACATTTATATAATTTACAGTTTCATTCATTTTTATATCAAGCTCATTTAGATTTTATAAATCAATAATGCAGTTTTAAATGTACTCTTTTTTTCATTAAAGTATTGTAAACATCAACCAAAACATACTGATGAGGGATGTAGCCCAAAAGGCATTTTTGTTGAAAATAATAAAAATGACGCTCCTTTTTAAAAATTAGTTTTCTTTTATATAGTAGATATGTGAAGATAATATCTAATTATTATAGAATTACAGAAACTTAGGATCAAAAGCTAATACAACATGTTATGTTGAGTAATAGAAAATTTTCTTTTTATCTAATCTTGACTTATTCATATAACAGCATGGGTGAATTGAGAGTTTCTTTGTTAAAATAAAACATGTTGCACAATAATTCACTTCAATGCAGATTACTAAATGGGACTAGTTTCTACATAAATTCCTGAGAAGCATCTCTTTATGTTGTTGTATTGCCTTTGCCTAACAAACCAAATCAATATCAGTAATTAGATTAGATATATTAAATTTTATTTATTTTGTATTTGCTTTCAATATTGTCATCATCACGTTACATGTTTAATTTTTGAAATAACTTTTTAACTACAAATTATAAAATCTTTTGATATTACAATTCATTCTTAACTTCAAAATCTATGGATCAAAGAACTATTACAATATAATTTTACTTATGTATTTATTTTTTATTTTTAGCTGCAGTACAACCATTAATTTTAAGAACAGACCAGCTTGCTAATCTTGGAATTTTAGAAATTTCATCTGCAGTCAATTCCTTAGCAAAATCATCAGCTCCATCTGAATTACAACAACATAAACTAGAATCAGTAACAACAAAAAAATTGAAACAGTCAGTTGATACAAGACCAACAATTCAAGGTTCAACAATTCCAATAGCAACTGGGAGTTCTACTTCTGCTCATCCTAATCATTATACTGATGTAAGAATTATATCTTTTTGAATATACAATAAATATAGTGTTTAATTTATATATATGTAATTTATATATTAATAACCATTAATGCCTATGTAATCTAAATAAATACTAAAATATTTTGTATTCTAAATCAGTGTTCCGCATCCTTTTTCTACTTGCGGCACACCCATGACTCAACATGGCACACCAAAATGTTATTCCCCTCAAAAACGTATGATATGATACTAGTAATAGAATTACATAATGCCACTAACCTATTATTATTATTATCGTTAAACAGACATCAACACCTGTGAGCAAATTTATTTTACATTTAATTTCTTAGAATACATAAAAATGTGTGGTTTGTAAGAAAGAATAAACAAATATCATCTTATTTCATCAGTGCTGCGACAGAGAATGAAATACAAGCATAAGAAACACAGCAACTGTGATAAAAATATATAAATAAAACTTGACAATTGATAGAAGATGTAAAAGTTCATGTCACACCTTTCACATTGTAGTGGCACACCGGTTGCGGAACACTGTTCTAAATAACATTCAAAAGATGCAAGACCATTTACAAAGATACTTTATGATTATAATAAAGCTTTTTATGTTTTTTTTTTAATTTTATATAGCTATGTATCTTTGGCTATTAGTTTTGGACTTATCACACCATGTTTTTAGGAATCTGGACTTGGGCTTTTCTCTTTATTTTTTAATTAATTTTAACTCCAATATGTACATTTTGGGTTTTTTCCCTTCTTCTGTTAGGGTAATACATTTAAAACAATAATTTAAAAGATTTTCTCATTAAATTAAATTTTCTTCTTTTAAAAATACAATCTTGTAGGTAAGTAGTATTGTAAATTTTTCTCTTTAATTTTTCACATAAAATACATTTTTACTACTACATTTTCTTATAAAGTAAAAGTAACTGTAAGCTTTTATGTTTAAATTATTAAAAATTAAAATTATTTTTAATGAAGATGATATATTTCAGTTAAAAGCTCTGAAAAGACAACAGAGAATGATTAAAAATAGAGAATCTGCATGTTTATCAAGAAAGAAGAAAAAAGAAGTTAGTTTACTTTAAATTAAATACACTAAAATATTTATGTAATAATTTCTTTGTAATTTCATGAATTTGAATTTATATGAAAATGTATTCTTTTAGTATTTACAGAAGCTTGAAATAGAAGTGAAGAAATTAACCAATGAAAATAATAGGTTACGTGCAGAAAATATTTTTCTTAAACAAAGAATAACAGATTTAGAGAAAGGCGTAAGTTTAAATTTTTGTTCTCATTTATTACATTTTTTATTGTGTAAGAAATATATATATTAATTATCTGAATATAATTAATATAATACAAATATTGGTCTGTTTATCAATACAAATATAAACATTTGTAATCCCAATAGTTATATTAGAGCCAAATGATTGCTGGATTAGATCAGGCTAAATTACTGCTACTATTAATAATTAAATGTTGAGTAATTTGGCCTGGAGATAGGTGTTAAGTGCCATCTCTTATTACATTTAATAATTATTATTAAATTAATATTAATTAATTAATTTAGAAGTTTCTAGAAGAAAAGGATTGGTCTGGATCAGAACTTGAACCCATGACTGTACTTACTGTGTAGGATGCAAATGGGGTATTGGGAGTGCATGGCATCCAAAACAACAAATAGCCCAGTACTGATTATCTATACTCTAATTCAATAGCTTTGGTTATTAGTTTATTGCATAACAAACCTGAAATATAGCTTGATGCAATGTTTGTGTTTACATCAGTGTTTCCCAAACTTTTTTAGGCCATGCCCCACTTTAACATTTCTAAAATCATCATGTCCCCCATACATAATTTTAGTTATAAAATTTATTTTTGTTCTTTTTAGTAANAATGAACTATTAAAGATGCATAATTTATTTTAAAAATATCTTCTTATTAATAAATAATTATATATTATTAAAATTATCACAAATTTTTCAACATTATTTTTAAAATGATGTTGAAAAATATAAGATATGTTATATTGGTCTTTGGAATTCTAGAACACTTTTGCTACATACTATTTCTTGTTTATTCTTACAATATACAATTACTTTATCATCATTTAATTTTCTAAAAGTTGATAGTGAATAAATAAATTTGTATATAGTAAGGTTTGCTTTGTTAAGCCATTTGTTCATTCACTTGCTTATTTGATAGCTTGCTTCTATCAAGCCTATGATATTAGTAATTAACAACAATGGATTGATAACTAATTACAAAAGGTGATATGGTTTTTGAAATATTTATTTTAATATGTTAATTAAAGATCTTCAACTTTTTCAGATTATTTTTTTCCATTTATTTGATATCTTCTTTATTATGAACTAATGAATTATTACAATAGCATTTAGTGGATACTTTTTGTTTGTATGGCTAAATTTCAAAATTGCTTTTTATTATTTTTGAAACTGTAATATAATTTATAGAATAGTGTAGTGCAGTGTTTGTCAGTTTGCAGAGAAATATTTGACTGTACTGACAATGGCATAGTTGATTACAGGTGACATTTAAATAGTAATCTAGAATTACTGTATGTACTTTATACACAGTAATTCTAGATAAGCATATATAAGGGTAATAAATAAGCATTATTCATAGTCAAAATAATTACTGGTCCATATAATTATTTACCAATAATTTTAATGGTCTGCAATGAGAAAAATATTGAGAAACACTGGAATAGTGTATATCTTTTTTAAAATAAAAAATGTAGCTGGTTGACAATCCATTCTCACATATTTGAATATTCAGAAATTTAAAACTTTATTTTTACTAAAATAACAATTTGAAATAAACATAAATTATCAGTTGATTTTGAGAAATAGTGTAGAAGTTGTATGCTTTTGTTGTTGTTATAAAATATTTCATATTCATTAATAACTAATAGATTAAATTAGCTGGCATTCTTTATGTTGGAACTTAGAAATTCATATGATGTCAGCTCATAATTATAGATAGGAGGCACACCAAGTTTTATGTGTGATCTTGTGTGATCTAACATGATCTTCTCTTCCTGCCAAGAATGACATTCTGTAGGATCTAAGTTTCTCTTATGTAATTTAAATAATGCAATTTTAATTTATCTAATTCATAATAAAGTGTATTATGGAAACTAGAGACCTGAATAATTCATTTAACATTTTATACGAGATGATTCATATCTGCTGCCTGTAACTTATTTTCTAGCATCATTATTTTACTAATACAATTTTATGAGAACATTTCTAAAAATAATTGTACTAGTATTTGAGGAAATAATATGAGTAAACTTATAAAGAATGGAATAGCATTTTAATTAAATAGCCTATTTCAATTTTGAAATAATATTTTTTATTAAAATTTAGTTAATAACAATATCTTAAGAGTGGAATATATTTCACATTTTTGATATTGCACTTACTTAATTTATATATAAAAATATTAATTAAAATTTATTTACAGACTAATACACCAAAAGCATTTTTATCAAATGAAATGAAAAAGACTACCTGCTTTATGGCTATTATTTTTATGTTAACAGTAAATCTTGCTCCTTATGGGTATGTGAATTATAATATTTGTATTATATTTTACATTTTAAATACTTAAATTAAAGAATGTTTATTTTTAAGAAGTTATTATTATTAAATTTTTAAAGTAATAGAATTATTTGAATATCAGTTAATTTTAAAAACATTGAAAATTATTTTATTAGAAATTATAGTTGAAATGAAATAATTTATTACTAAATAATTTATTTTTTGAAGAATTTGTGAAGTATGCCATGAATAGCTTTGTAAATCAGATATTTAAGTTATTTGAGTTTTAATTTACAACTTGGTTATTTTTTTAAGATACTTTCTTTCGATATTAGACAAATGGAATTGAAGAATTTAATGCCATTTTCAAAATATATGGGAATGATATTTTCATATGTCAAAATACATTGGTCAGTGTTTTTGCTGCTTTGTGGAATTTTATAAAATTTCAGTTGATAATTGAATGCATTTCTATTGCTTATTATTTTGGCATTAAATTAATATGTCAATATCTTTTAAGCATATAGATGTTCACTGGTAGTATTAATACTGTTAACAATAAGTTTGTAGTAATAAGAATTAGTTAGTCCATTTGCTTGAAGTTAATGAATATTATATAGCAGCAGAATAGAGTTAACATAGATAACCTGTTGTTGTTAAAACAACTGCCCTACTTTATTCTTTTAGCCATTTTCTCTTAAACTGTATGTTTGTATGTTTAATCTTTTGAAGATTTCTTCTAGTTTAATGTCTTCTGTACAAAACTTGAAATTTTATTATTTTATGCACAAGTTTACTCAAACAGATGATTTGGTTGATGTTATTTCAAATATATCAACATTAAATAGTTAGTTGCCTTACAGTCAAACAGGAGTAGAATGTGGTGTACTAAAATTTCAGTAAATAAATATAATAAATAAATAAATAAATAAATAAAAACTGTCTTTTTGTATTATTTTAAGGTTTAGATAATAAATAAAAACACAATACAGCTATTAAATTTGCAAATACTTTCAGTAAAATAAATTTATAATTTATATAAGGCAGGCAAAAGAGAGAACATAAACTGGAATCTAGTACAGATATTCCAGAATATTTGTATTTAATTTGTCGTGTTCCATCTTTTTGTCTAATGTTGATAAGTTTATTTACCAAAAGTACAGGTAGGCCTCCTACAACGCGGTAGATACGTTCCTTGAAAATACCGCATTGTGGGAAATCGCGTTATAGGAGACACCAACTTAATACAAAAACTGGGATTCAGTTCTAAAAAGAGAAAAACTTGCTGTTTGAATGGCGTTTTTTGAATTTTTAAAACCAGCCATTGCTAGCCATGAATTTAACACTGGTTTCATCAGCCGACGACTGTCTCATTTGTTTTAATTAATCAAATATTTTTAAGGCTTTGTGTTTAACTGCACTTTTATTTAAAGGCAACCATTTCTTGTTCATATCTTCTATCCATAATATTAGCGCTTGTTCCTTTTTTTTTTTTTTTTTTTTTTTCATTACAGGTGCTCTCGGACGAGCAACATTTTTCGCAAGAATAGATGATCCGGATGCGACTGAATTCCTAATCTTTTCTTCCTATTGCTTAATCGACCAAATAGTTGACTCATTTAAATTAAAATGCCTACCAATATCAGCTAGCCGCTCTTGATTTTTAATTCGATACAAAATTTCTATCTTTGTTTGAAGAGATATATTAATAAATTTCTTTTCTAACGACGGTCCTTTCTTTTCATTCGACATTGTTATGGCTAAAATTTTTTCGAGCAGTTTTGTGGACAGTAAAAATTGCAAAAAATAACTTCCCTTCACTATGTTGTTAAAAATATACTTATATAATGAACGAACTGGATAAATATACTATTAATAAAACACACCTTTAATAATCCAGCTAATAAAAATTAATAGTATAATAATGTTTTCAATCATTTCTTAACGATCTTCTTCAGTTACCATAACATAGAATAAAATTGAACACAAAAAAGAATGTAAATACGAAAATTAAAATATAAATAACGGAAAAGTAGATAAAATAAACAAAAAATAAAAATTAATCCGAAAAAATGTCCCTTAACAAATAAAAATAAATAAAGTCATTAATTCTTGTAAAAGGATCGCCATGCAGTAGGTAAAGAGTCCGCATCTCTATGGTTGATGCAACCAGTTTTCTTGTGTGCCTTAAAGATCTCTAATTTCTCCAGATATTTGATTGTATGTAAATTTGTCGTAGATTTAATAATTTCCGCTCGATCCCAATGGACTTGAATGTCGTGTTGCGTTGCATAAGACGATAGCACGGTGTTGTCAAGTTTCTTATTAATCGTATATTTATGCTCTTTGATACGTTGTTGTAATGTGCGCATTGTTGCGCCTACGTAGACAAGATCCGAATTAAAACGCTGATCGTGTAATGGTATAGAATAGATTCCTGATGCCGATTTCCAGTTATAACGCTTCTTATCGTTTCTTAATAGCTTGAAAACTGTAGGATTGCGTCGATATACTACACTGAAATCATTAGCCTTGGCCGTTTATTTATGTATTTGTCTCAAAAACGGGACATAATTTAAAACCATCTTTTGTCTACGGTCTAATGTGGAATGCCGTTGTTTAGTTGTTTGGAAGGTTGTAATAAGATTCTTTATGATTTCCTTTTGGTATCCCTGTTGTTCCGCAATCTTTAGAATGTAGTTTAGCTCTGCCATCATGTCTTTTATACTAGAACAATGTGTATAAGTCCTTTTTATCCAGGACCTAAAGGCCGCCAATTTGATGTGATGCGGATTGATTGAATTATGCGGAATTAAGCATAATTCAATCAATCCGCATCACATCAAATTGGCGGCCTTTAGGTCCTGGATAAAAAGGACTTATACACATTGTTCTAGTATAAAAGACATGATGGCAGAGCTAAACTACATTCTAAAGATTGCGGAACAACAGGGATACCAAAAGGAAATCATAAAGAATCTTATTACAACCTTCCAAACAACTAAACAACGGCATTCCACATTAGACCGTAGACAAAAGATGGTTTTAAATTATGTCCCGTTTTTGAGACAAATACATAAATAAACGGCCAAGGCTAATGATTTCAGTGTAGTATATCGACGCAATCCTACAGTTTTCAAGCTATTAAGAAACGATAAGAAGCGTTATAACTGGAAATCGGCATCAGGAATCTATTCTATACCATTACACGATCAGCGTTTTAATTCGGATCTTGTCTACGTAGGCGCAACAATGCGCACATTACAACAACGTATCAAAGAGCATAAATATACGATTAATAAGAAACTTGACAACACCGTGCTATCGTCTTATGCAACGCAACACGACATTCAAGTCCATTGGGATCGAGCGGAAATTATTAAATCTACGACAAATTTACATACAATCAAATATCTGGAGAAATTAGAGATCTTTAAGGCACACAAGAAAACTGGTTGCATCAACCATAGAGATGCGGACTCTTTACCTACTGCATGGCGATCCTTTTACAAGAATTAATGACTTTATTTATTTTTATTTGTTAAGGGACATTTTTTCGGATTAATTTTTATTTTTCGTTTATTTTATCTACTTTTCCGTTATTTATATTTTAATTTTCGTATTTACGTTCTTTTTTGTGTTCGATTTTATTCTATGTTATGGTAACTGAAGAAGATCATTAAGAAATGATCGAAAACGTTATTATATTATTAATTTTTATTAGCTGGATTATTAAAGGTGTGTTTTATTAATAGTTAAAAATATACACCCAATAGAAGTTTATACTGTATTTTGGACCATTTTTGCGGTCCCCACCTATTGAAAGAGTATAAATTATCGAGAATTCAGTGATATATTTGAGTGTTTATGGTAACTGATGCACATTTGTCTAGAAACCGGTCTTCCCCTGAAACTTTCATGGGAGTAACACGTCAACATGGACAAACAGCTGCTTTCGAGGACTTCAGCTCTGTACACCAAACTGTGGCGCATATTAAGTGATCCGTTGAGATTTTTCTGTTATGTGAAAGATAATTCGTTTCTAAATACCATAAACTGCGTTGTAAAAGTACCGCGTTGTAAGAAAATTTCTGCATTTTTCCAACTGCATTGGAGCGAAAACGCATTGTAAAGGTACCGCATTGTAGGAGGCCTACCTGTATTTATAATTTATAGTGTTTTTATTATCTAAACATTAATATAACATTAAAAGATAGATTAAAAAGTAAAATAAAATAAACTGCATTACATTTAAACTTTTGGTAAATAAACTTATCAACATTAGGCAAAAAGATGGAACACGACAAATTAAATACAAATATTCTTATGCAGTTAAATAAATTCTGGTTTCATTTAATGTTTTCTACACATTAAATGCATGTTTTTCAATTAAAAGAAATTGAATATTTACAATATTAAATCATTAAAGATTTATTACATGCTTTAAAAAGTTTTGTACCACTTCATTTTTGGAAGACAGTGAAGAGGTATTTTGAACATGGCATTCTGTTGTAATGTAAAAGTCTCCAGTAAAATATATGCTTTATTGTCACAAAAATTAAATGTATATGATAAATAAAATATCATCTTGGAACCAGATATTAAAAGTAATGTCTACAGAGTTTACAAATGGTAGTATGGTGATCTCAGTATCCTGTCAAACTATTTATGGAGCTTTTCAATGCTGCAACTCTCGGCGTGCTGATTAGTGCATCCAGGTTACACTAATTCATATTGTCCCATTCAGCAAAGACAACATCCTAACATTCTTGAAGTGTGTGGAGGAGATGTAGGTAATATTATGGTTTATTTGAGCATGTCTAAAGCATGCTCAAAACAGTTTGTGTGGGGAAAGTGTAGGCTATTCCATTTGTGTGAGTTGGTCCAGATCTGCTGGAGGTATTCATTTACAAGATGGCCATGATAACAATGAGAATTATCATCTGAAATACAAAGTGTGATCCATATGCTTGATGCAATGGCTCTACAAACTATTTCAGGATGTTTTCTTAATAACATATGCTGGTCATCAGTATTGGGTTGTGCAATACTGTTTGGTGGGCTGTGGCTCTTGCCAAGATTGTCTGGCTCTCAGGGATGCATTTTGTAATCTGTTGTGGAGGTCTGAATTTATAGAAGGACTCCAATGACATCCAGAAACTGAAATGGAACTCCTTTGCAATGTTCTCAGGCTTACGGGGGGCCAGAAGTGTCAAGTACTGGTTCTTATCAGAGGTGGTTGCTTGTGGTGCTTATCAGAGGTGGTTGATCAGTATAGCTCCTGTCTTCAACATTTCAAGTGCTTTGGACCCTTTGTCAGGTCTGCAAAATATTACTATGGTTCCTTGCCATGATTCAAGTAATGTCCCTAATTGACAGACTTTGCTGATAAAATTTGGTGATTTGCAAGTGATAAAAAAAGATGGGCTGATGAAACATGAGAAGTAAAAATGTGAAAATGCAAATGCAACAGCAATCTTGTGAGCATACTTATGTGGTGACTATATATGACACCCTGATGCCCATTTAATTCACTAAAAGGCAGACCATGGATGGTTCAAAACTTCTTGGATGTGTGTATTTGTAGTTACTACTATAATTGGTAATTTAACTTGTGTATCAAAATATTTATCATGTGATATCACACCTTCATGCTGTTTCTGTTGGAAATAGTGTGGAAGGCATGACTTATTATTTGTAAGTTCCAGCTCAAGATGTAAAGAATTGTAAAATATTTGTTACCTTGTTCTAGTTCATAAATTTTTATTTGGCCTTGAAATGTAAATATTAACATATTCTTAGTTATTAAAAACTAAATTTAAATAAAGTTTAATTTTATGAGTTTTATAATATGTAAATTGACATAGTGATTCAAAACAAATTTAGAAATTTAAAATGCTTAATTTGAATTTTAAATATTCTATGTATAATGTATTCTATAAAGTTGCGTATATGAAGGCAAAAATTAAAACTTTTCAAAAAGTATGTGAAATAAAATATTTTAAGTATTATCTTCTTATTAATAATATTTTATTGATTGTAGTGTTGTTAGAAATATAATTTAAAGTTTTATTTATATTGATTAGTACTTTTTTAAAAAAAATTGATATATAATTTCTGGAGTTTTATGTATATTAACACTATAAATCTTTAATTTAGTGGTCTTCTTCTTAGTACAAATGCCCCTAGTTCAACTTCATTTGTAAATCCTCATCGAACTGGAAGATCTCTCCTATGGAAAGTAAATGAAAATGTTGATGAAGTAAATAAGCCTGATCCAGATTTTGTTGATGATTCTTTGTCAAATAATAATTTAACTGGATTTGAAGGAAAGAATATTTCTATTTGTCCAACTTATATTAATAATACTGAATCCTTAAGGTAAATATTTAATTTACTATTTTTTTTTTGTTTGATTTGCAGTAGTAAAAACTATTTTAGTTATTTTTTTATCATTGCTTATGTTTAATTTAATAAAGATAAAATAATAAATCTTGAAGATAAGAAATTAAAATGAAATTTATTTCTTTAAAGTGTGAATAAAATAATTGAAAATTTAAAAAAAATGTTAAAAGTTTGTATAAATTTTTATTCTTATTCATTTCTGAAAGACTATTTAGTTAGGTAATAGTTTTAATACGAAAAGTAATATACAGATATCCCCTGTATGATATAGTAGTTGGGTTCTGAAAAGGTGCTGTGTTATGTGAATCTGTGCTATATGAAACAAAGGACTAGTACAAACCATAGGGTTAGGTTCCAAAAGTTAGCAAAAGTATACTATTTCTTTTTTATAATTAAGAGAAATGTTTATTAAAGCAATCAATAATTAATTAACTAACAATTACAATCAAAAGTATTGCATGTTAATATTAAGTTTTTCTTCACTGCTAAACACCATTAAACATAGACTTTTTCTTTTTGGCAAAATATATCATCATCTGAGCTTTCTTGTTGAGCTTATTCTGAAGTAGCAGCACCATCTTGATTTTTTTTTAAGTCTTCATAAAATCGGATATTTTCATTTGCTTGCATTTGTCTATGAGCTCTTCAAAAATTTAATATTTTTATGTAGTAACTTTTAATTTAATGTATAAAAACAAAACATGGCAACAGTCTTTCAGGTTCATTTAGAGAACTGTCATCAATGACAGTGACACCTGGTTTATAGAAAAGTCTAGATAGGAAACTAGGACAAGGAAAAAGAAAAATTGTGTAGTCAGTCCTCATTAAAGAAAACCATACAAAAAGCACAAAACAGCATTGAAAATTTCAATATTCTGAAATCCATAGGCAAATATGAGACAATGTGAGGGTCAGACCGAATAAAATTAAACAAAGAAACCCTCCACTTTTCCCCTTTTTTGAAATCTCATTGATATCTTATAACAAAATGATGAACACACTTCCTTCTCTGGAGTCATTTCCTTTCTCTCCAGAACTCGAGAATGAATCACAAGGAACTTATTGCAAAAAGTTGCGATTGGTGTAAAAAGATAATGTGACTTAAGATATAAAAGAGGGGTGATGAAAGAAGAAGGGGTCCATCATAGCCGATAGCCGTCTGAGAGTTGAAGGCCAGAAAAAAAAAGATTTTGTGGTCGCCAAGATGAGTCCGGACGAAGTTCACCCAACCCTCAACAAACCTCTATGTGAAGACGAATCTCTCCCAATCTCTGTTCCATTGTTCAGTACAAGCAACTCTAGAGGTATGAAATGAATATTGTAAACTCTCTCTCGGCGTGCACCCATACCCCCATCCTCATGTAAAGTTGATAGAATCTCCATGTTAGTTATGTTATCTAAGTTGTTGTTTAATAAATTTGTTTATTGGTATGTGGTGTCTTTTACTCATTTATCACCGACATCTTACTGACGACCCCTTTCAACTCCTCCACTCATCCTGAACAAAAATTATCATGATCCTAAATGAAACATGCCATCCTTGACCAGTGGGCAGGTTTAACCAGCCTGTAAAGCGACCAAAGAGAGGTACGGTTTGTTCTACCTCAGGGGCTACCCACGACAACATGTATGCTTGCTTGAATAAAAAAATATCAAATGACAGTGTTTTTTATTTTTTAACAATTAGTGAGCATTATATGAACTGCTGACTATAAAAAATGCAACACCCAAAGATAAGGAGTAGAGATATCAAAGCCAAAAGTATGGAATATATAGCTTGTTACAAAGATTAAATGATTAAAAATCCAAGTTGATTAAACTTCTGACATATGAATTATCTAGTATCTTGTGCAGCTACCAAGGGCATCAATAATCACTGCTATTCACTCTAGCAATGAGAGGATGAAATGTCAAATGTATATTTGGGGAATGTGACTGACATTCCTTGACATACAAAAAAAAATTTGGTATTATATAAAAACTGCATGCAGTCCGTGCAGTTTTTATATAATACCAAATTTTTTTTTATAGTAGATGTTTATGATGAAAATGGACTGTAACACAAATTCACAATATTTGCACAATAAAATGGTCTTTATTGATTTAAACTCTCTTAAATCATTCAGGCAATACAGTTAGAATTCCTCTTGAATCCGGTACAATGAAAGAAGATGGCAACAACAACGGAGGGTGACTCCCTCCAAATGCATGTATTAGTGTTCTCTTACAAAAAAAATAAAAAAAAAATTTCCATATAATAATAATAAATAATAGTTTACACAGTAGCTGGCTGTGTCTGGTATGTAACCATCATGAGATAATTGGCCAGATTTGTTTTTTGGGGACAAATCCAGTGAAAGTACAGGTCAAGGAAGAAGAGGAAAATTAAATTAAAAAATAACACCTTTGTCAATCCAGCAAAAAATTTAATATAATAAAAACGTTTTCAATCAGTTTAAACAATCTTCATCAGTTACAGAAAAATAGAACATTAAAATAGAACATAAAATGATTATGGAATAAATATAAAAATTAATGGAAGATGTCCTTGTGGATTAAATATGGATAAATAATCATATCATTATATTGGATTAGTATGGCTAAAATAGAACATAAATTGATTATTCCATAATCATTTTATGTTCTATTTTAGCCATACTTTAATGTTCTATTTTTCTGTAACTGATGAAGATCATTTAAAACAATTGAAAACGTTTTTATTATATTAAATTTTTGCTGAATTGACAAATATGTAATTTTTAACTTAATTCTTTATCCAGTATATAGTTCCAAACCTTGAATTCCAAAGACACCCATATCAGGTGTTGGACTAGTATGGCACTCAATAAGACATTATGCATGCCTTATTGAGTTTGTTACTGGAATATTATCAAACAGCTTTGCTCATTTATGTGCATTATTCCTAGCACCATTGCATTTGTAAACACCTTTGTTGTAGAATCAACAGTAGCTGAAGCAATTGGCACATTGAAAGGGAGCTTTGGTGCTGCAGACAATATCTAATGGTACATGTGGACACTGGTTGGTTTGCAAAACTAGCTGTTGAGCTAAGGTGTATGATCACTTAGAACCAAGTGCATGACAGGTTTGTATTCTTGTTTGTTAGTGTGACAAGTTTAATGAGATCCTTCATATAAGTGAGTTTGTTCCTTTTCTACGCAATAATGTATGGTTGCTCACTAATATCATAGTCTCATCACTGTGAGCAAATTCTGTCCAACACTATCAAAATTTCTTGGAAGGCTAATCTGTCTTCCTGTAATTCTGCAATTCTCCTTCAAAGTCTGAAATCTGGATGAATGGTTGCCATGTTCTTTGATGGAGCATACTTGATCCTTTCTTTAAGAAAGAACTGTGAACAAACACAATTTTAGCGCTTTACATTAGTTCTGTGCTTAGTTTTTAACTTTTGAGGCACTACTGTCGCATGATTTGCATATGGGATGTTTTTTTAATCATTTGCATATGGGATGTTTTTTTAATCATTTGCATATTCTTTCATTCTCTAACCTACTTGTAAATTTTGGGCATATCTAATAAATCCTTCTGGTCATTGCAATTTTTTGTGGTCAGCAATGTATTTAATTTCCCTTACTAATTATGTGCAATAATAGGAAACAGTTCTCACAATAAAGTTTTAGAGTTTGATTTCAAAGTAAAATAAATGAATTCTGTATTATGTAATTGATTTAAAAATTTTTATGTTATTGAAAGATGTATTAAAATTTCATTTTAGAGTTAATATATGTTTGTTTCCATCTGGACTGATTTGTTTCTTTAGATAGAATCTTTATATAGTAAGAATTAATATATCAAAGACAGAAATTTTGGATATTTACTTGTTTAATTATAATCTTATATAAATAATAATTGATTATTTATTGCAAGTTAATATAAAAGCAAAAATAGTAGTAAAATGAATGTTTTATTTATCACAGTTATAATAAAGTTTTCATTAGATGGTTTTATATATGTGATTAATAACAGTAAAATCTGTAGTCTTGCTTTTAATTGTGAATTTCATTACATAATTAATTTATATATTTAACAAGAAAATTTGATCATTACTTTATCAGAATTAATATAAATTTTCAATAAAGTTTTTACGAATTTTGATCATAAGTTGTCAAAATATATAAATATGATATTTAATTTAATAAATATAAAAATATTACATACGTATTACAAAGAAAAACTTTGCTTCTGATTTCTTTATCTGTCATTTTAACACACCAGAGACAGTTCACAAAAATTCACAAACATGGAGACAACTTTTCTTTTGAGGCTCCACCTCTGCAATAAAATACAGAAATGGAAAACAGCATCTTCTGACATTCTTGCCAAAATTCACAAAATAACACATTTAAGTAAAAAGTTAAAATATGATGTTGTTAGTGTGTTAAAATGACATATAAGAAATTAAGCAAAGTTTTTCTTTGAATATATGTAATATTTTTATATTTATTAAATGTAAATACTGTTGGCCATATTTTAACTTTTTAATGATATTTAATGCTATGTATTAATTTATCTTTAGTAATTATTATATCTTAATATACAGACAGAAATATTACCAAAACGTGTGTGTGTGTATGTTTAAAAATAAACTTTTATATTATGATAATTTATCATAATTACATTTATATTTTTAAATTTGTATATTAGATTAGAGAATGAATTACGTGTTTGGGCATTGAGAGTTGAAAAACAAAAAAGGAAAGTATTAACAAAAAAACCAAAGAAAGTAATGCCACCAGTTCAAGCATGGATTAATGAAGCACGTAGAAGACAATTAAAAAATGAATGGTTAGTTTCAATCAATTGTCACTTCTATTAATTTTGTGATTTAATCAAATATAATTTGTGAGGAGTTTTCTTGTAACTGTATATTTTTTTAAAAATAACTTCAAAATTTTTGAAATTATAGGTTTTGAATGTTGATATAACAAACTTATTTTTTGAACATTTTTAAAATTTGTTATTATAGTAAGTTTTTATTTTGAAAATGTTATAGAACTTAATAGGAACATCAGAATTCTACAACATGTTTATTGAAAATGTTTATAAAATTTATATAAATAACTTTTAATACATGATTAACTTAAGGCAAAAAATGTCCAAAGAAGTATTGTTAAAGATTGTTAAAGAATATGTATTTTTAACAATTTGTAGTACATGAACTACACAAAAAAATTAATAAGGTAATTGCCTTTCATTTTAATTTAAAATTATTTATAGTCCTTAATGAGTGACCTTTAACTGAATTTATTATATCATAGAAAAGTTTGTTGACTAATCATAGAATGAGTTGTTATATGAGTGGTAAACCAAATATCAAATAACTTTTACAGAAATAAAAGAACTTTATTATTTAGTGCATTATACAGACTATTTGATATCCAAATTAGAACATTTTTTTATTGTATTTCCTATATATTATGAAGTTTTCTTCTGAGAATAATGTCAATAGTAAAAAGCATGATAGAGAATTTAATGAAGTGCATATCTTTGATATTTTGATCCTTGATTTTAATGTGCAAAAGTGTTTATCTAAACAATTATATGTATGGAAAAAACTTGTCAATGATGAACATCATTGTTTTTTTTTAATCAGTCAGTACAAATAGCTGACTTTTTAGGATGAATTATTATCTGTGGAATCTAATTTTCAAAACTATATTTATAATATCAAGTTTTTATCTTGTACATATACCTAGAATAAGATTTGTATTTTGAGGTAATGGGGTTTGGTGATCATATTTATACATAAACATGAACAATCCCACCCTATTCTTAATACAAACTATCAAAATTCTGGATTTTTTAGACAATGATTTTGTGAATATAATTTTTGCAGTCTGCAAATTAAAATTAATGTTAGTATTGACTTAAAAATTAATTTGCTGAGAAAAGCTGATTTCAAATCATTTAAATACAATGAGAAATATGACATTCATTAACACAATGTATCTGGAATTACTATGTCAACAAAGTTTTATTTCTCACAAGAAAATAAAAATCTGTTTTGAATTTATTTCAGATTATGTAAAATGATCTAATTTTTATACAAATATTTGGAAAATAAAAAAGTTTTAAAGATAAGTTTTAGCTTTTCAATAAATTTTTATATTCAAATTAAGAAGAATATAATCTTAAGTTAATATGTGTATTTTGAATAAAATTGTAAAGTCAGCTGAGTTTTACAATATTTGAAAATAAATTAATTTGGATGTGGGAATTTTTTTAGTTAATTTCAGATTTAAGTAAATTAAGTATACTAAGTTTTAAAATAAAATGAATAAAGCCTTTGAACACAATCTTTCATTGTATTCCTTACAATTTCTTAAGTAATAACAATTTTGATTATTAATTGAAATTTTTTAAAATAATGTATTCTTCATACAGTTAAAAGGTTTAGTCAGGAATTTTATGTATTGATTATTAAGTCCTACTAAGCCTTGGATAATTAGAGAGACTGTTTAAAATATTTTCAGTTAAAGAAATTTCAACTTTTATAGTTGATGGGTGGTTATTTTGTGTTTTCAAGAAGCTTAGCTAATTCTTTGATTTTTTTAGAATTGTACAAGAATGTCAGTTATTATTGGAACTATTATTTATTTTATTCTGCAATTCTTTTTATTTCAGACTTAGATTGTCGTATTTGGTAACCTTTTAAAGATGATGTTTTTGATTCAGCTAACTCCTGATATAGCAATATTTATGATCCAAACCTGTCTATTTTTGACAAAAGTTGAATCAAGATTACATGAGCAAAGTACTTATCAGTTTGTTTATCAAAAAATTTCATTGTATTATTTTTCTTCATTTTCTATGGAGTGTTTGCTCTACATAGCCACTAATTCTTTCCCCTTCTAGAAAATGCGTTTTTTGTTTTTTCTTTCAAATATTTTATTATTATTTTCGTTATAGCTCTGAAATTTTCTTTCAGTAGTTCATTAAACATTCTAGTCCTTATGTCAAGATCTTTGCAGAGGTGGTCTCTACTGTTGTTTTGAATCTTCTTAATCTTAATGACCTGCATATATATATGTTTGTATATATATATAATGCTTGCTTTTTTTTTCTCTCTCTCTCTCTCTCTTGCCAGATGATTGTACTTAATGTCTTTTTCTTGGAGTTGAAGTATTCGCCACAAAGTGTCTTATTTAGTCTCTTTTCTTTTTGAATCAGCATAAAACTAAATAAAATTGTCTATATAAAATTATATTTTCAGAAAAACAAATATTCAGAATATTTTTTACAGTAAGCTAATTTTTTCTGTTTATATTTGTTATAAAGTATATGTTAAATATATTTTCACTTTTAAAAATATTCTTAAAATGTAAAGAAATTAATATACATTTTGTAATTTAAAATTATAATTTATTTGATCTAAGGTATCCTGGCCACAATGAATTACAAATATATCGTTCTCCACAAAAATCATTTGATGACTTTTTAGAAGCAATTCATCGTAGAGAAGATACTTTTTACTTTGTTTCTTTTTCTGGTGTAAGTATGAATTTTCACATTTCACTTACAAATATGTAATCCAGTTCACAATCGTTTTCAAAATATATGTAAGAAATGAAATATTTTTATGATTAAAAATACCAATATAGACTATCCTACTAGTGTCTTCAATTGTCTTTTTTCAGTCACAAATAAAATGTTAGTGTGTTTTAGATGAGTTCTGGACTCATCTAAAATACACTAATGTTTTATTTGAGACTGTGATTTCAGTAAGTTATGTAAAGACAAAATACAGTGGGTGATTGGTTAATGAACAAATCAGATAATGAACACTTTCGCGAAAGATTTTTATGTTCGGACAACAAACACCTCACAAAACAAATACAAGAAGCGATGTAAAATAATGAATACCAATTAGTCTTCCCTTGTCTTCAGGCAACAATTTGAAATCTTTTGGAGTGCAGGAGATGTTGACATTGACACTGAATCTGATATATACTGATCTGGATAGTATTCTTCTGAACTTTGAAACTCTCCCTTGTAATTCCAGCTGTTTATTTTTCTGACAGAAACAATTTTCTTATAGTATTCACGAGACTGTCAGGCAAGCACTCGTTAAGTTTTGCATTGATTTTTATTTTTGAAAGGTGAGAGTATAATAGCAAAGGTAGAGAGTGGGCAGATGTCTGTTGTTGCTGGGCAGTATGGCTTGAATAGGCCTACAGTAGGCCACAGTTCAATCTTATCTAAGAAAAATACAGTAGTGCAAGAAGACTCAAGCAGCTGAAGGAATAACAAAATCACATCTGAGAAATAAAGAACATTGAAGAGCTTTTAATGGAACCTGAAATGGATCTGATGACAGAAGAACACCAAGAAACTTGGCGAGATATGTTTTCTTCTGAAAAAGAGGATTAATGTTGATATCTGCTGTTAAACATCTTTTGAAGGAGTGGGAGGATGTCACAACAACTGTCTTAGAATGGCATCCAAACCAGATTGAGGTTAATAGGCTTAGGTATCTCTACAATTACAATGCTATTAATTACTTCTGAAAAATCTTGAAGAAGAGAGAAAAGCAATCGACATTAGACAGATTCTTTAACCCCCACAAACAGTAAAAACATGACTAATAAAAATGCAAGACTGTATATATGTATTTTTATTATTACATATAAATAAATGTAGTAAGAAAGCATATATTTTTTATTTTTTGGGGTTTCCAGAACGAATTAATCAAATTCCCATAAAAAGCTATGGTAAATCGATAATCACTTAACAAACAATTCGGATAACGAACAAAGTCTTGGAATGGATTATGTTTGTTAACCAATCACCCACTGTATGTCCACTGGTGATTGAATAATGTTGTAAAAATAAGTATATTACATTTAAAAATTAAGTTAATTAAAAATAGGAATGTAGACTATCCAAATGGTGTTTTTTATCTTTTTCATAATTAACTGAGGTCATATTCTTAAAAAAAGAAGTAGAATCTCAGAATGTTTTAAATGAGTTTCTGGTATGACGAAACTAGTGAAACACTATTTGGATAGCTTGGATTTTTAAATGTAGTATGAAATATTTTGAATTTATATTTCACTTTCTTATTAATACAATCAATTATATGAATGAATAAGTATAAATATTATAGTAAATGGCTGGCTATAGATAATTTTTTTCATATTAAGCTAATTATTTTTTTGTTTATATTTATTATAAAATATATATTACAAATTTTATAATTTAAAATTATGATTTATTTGGCATTAGGTAGATGGCCATAATATATGATAAATAATAATAATAACTGTCTTTGACAAGTTTTTCATGCTATACCATTTTAATAATAAAAATAATCCTATAAAGTGTGGAATGTTAAAAAAGAAGAAAAAATTTGGCTTCTGTATAACTTCATTTTATTAGCCCTATCTGTTAAAAAGATTGCCTACTCAATCTATAGAAATTGAATAATAATCATATGAAAGATAATATTTGCAGATTATGACATTCTATAGTAAATTTAGGAAATTTTATTGAAAATGAAAGTAATAGACTAATTGTAATATGCTTATTTAATATTTCTAATCTCTTCAAGATGAGAAACATATTTTGTTGTATTATTTAAATAATAATTTTTTTCTTTTACATAGTCAATTGTTGTTTTATACTTTTTAAGGGACTAAACAGTTTTTACTTTCCGAGTTATTATTTATACATAACGAGGGAAAATGTTGGAATCCTGTCAAATTTAACCTTCCGAGTTTTTTGCAAATCTCTATGTTTTTGAGCCTTCCTGAACCTAAAAAAGTAAAAAATACCATGGATGTGTGTGTGTGTGTGTTGGCATCTATTTTGTTTAATATCTCAGGATGGAGTAAAGACTAAGAAACAAAATTTGGCATGGTGGCTTGCATATGAGGGGCATTGATGCTATTAAATTTTGGTGAAAGGTCAAGAGGGTGGGGAGATAGAGGGGTCATGTATCTTGAGAGGGAGTAGGACTTAATGAAGATTTTATTTGTTATTAACATTTACACTTTTTTAAAAATAAAACTTGCCCCTACACTCAAAATTAAGCTTTTTCCCATTTTATAGTAATTAAAAATATAAATATTTTTATAACAAAATCTGATAACAGATGGTGCCACACACAATTTTATTTATTGCTTAACAATATAAAAGTTTTATTTTTTTAATAAATGCTCATAACAGCCAGGAAAGTTATGTAACTCTCATTGCTGCATTTTGTTTTTTTTTTACTAGTTTAGGCTGACTTTAATAAATTTAATATACAGTTTAATTTAAAGATAAACATTGCCATTTTATAAATACAGTAGAGTGTCATTTATCCGAATCAATTGGGGACTGGGGTTGTTCGGATAACTTATTTTTCGGATAACCGATTATGTACGAAAAAATATATTAACCTATCCCGTGTTGAAATTTTTCTCCGTTGTGTATCGCTTCATGTTGAATTTTTGTCGATGTTAAGCCTAATGAAAACTTTCTAAAATAATAATCGTGGCTATTGTATCATTAAAAATTATTTTTTTATTTTGTACAAACAAAATAAATATATTGAAAAATATAAAAACCCAAAAAAAATATACTTTAGAAGTTAATCTAGTATCAAAAATGTTTGATTCAGCACGACACACAGTCCTGAGAAAAACACCACACAAAAGTCCCATTGCTGCTAGCTAAAACACACACACCAACAAAAAAAATATTGGAGTAGCCCAAGTTACATACAGTATAGTTTTTATTATGTATATTGTAACTTGAATATGATGGATACTAAATAGAAAATAAAACAAATTATACTCATTAGCCTGAAATTAAAATTTTATGATATTTTTAGGATCACTTACTGCTTCCTGCAACTGCACATAACAAAACAGTACGACCAAAGATGTCTCTTGTTATGCCTGCAATGACATTCAATGGTAGGTGTTTGTTTTAAAATTTCTAATGAATGTTGCAAAATTTTGGTTGTTCTTTCCTTTTAAAAGTCATACTTCTGTTATAGATTTTAAATACATATATATAAATAGTATTAAATTTCAAAAATATATCAAATAAACAGCTAAAATAATGACAATTAAAAATGTCCACAAAATTTAAATATTATTCTTCAGATAAATTTCTAGAAAACATTTTAAAATTTATTTTCTCTTTATTGAACAAATAATTTTCTGTTGTTAAATATTCTGAAACTGAAATAAGAATTTTGTGATTAAAGTAGTAATATTTTTAAATTAAAAAACTTAGTTATGACAGATTAACATTTGTGTATTATCAAAATTTCAAATAAAGAAATGAAAGAAATCAGTGTTAATGATCAATGATGTAATTGAACAAAAATTGAATGTTTAGAAAAGTTTTCAAAACTTTACACTAAGTTTTTTATAACTTTCATAAAGATAATTAGTCTAGAAACTTTACTAGTCTATATTTATAGAATCTGAAGATTGGTAGAATTTTGGTCTTCTTACTAGGAAGATGAAATTTTAACACTTGTTTTGATTTTATAGATTTTGAAAAGTACATTAATTTTATGTATAGTACAGTACAGTACAATATTATGTAGAATAATTATATGAATTTAAAAAAAATTATTATTATAATATATTCTTATTTATTTATGAATTAGAAATGTNTGTAATGATAAAATATATTGGAAAAAAATTATAATAAATATTTTTTTATTTATATTTTATATTAACTTAATCTTCAAATGAGTTCATTTTAAAAATTCTTAATGTACTATTACAAATAACTTATATATATTGCAATATAATTATTATATCTTCTGTTATTTGATATTATATATATATTGTTGATATGTAATTTGATCATATATGTTAAATATTGACATTCAAAGGATAGAAACATATGTAAAAAAAAGCAAAAAATTTGCCAAACAAGGTAATTTATTGATGAAATTTTAGCTGGAAATAATAATGTTTTTTTATTTAACAAATATAATTGTCAAAAAGTTAATGTATAGTTTACATTTATGCAATAAGTTTTTGTTTTATGTATGCTTTAAATTTTAATTATTTTGTTTTTTTGAAATAGATATCTATTACTGTATATTAAATAGTTTCTTTATGTTTTAATAATTATTCACAATAATTTTGGCAGATACAGTCAAGCATCCTAAGGATCATGTGACCATGATGCAAATAGATTGTGAAGTTATGAATACTAAACTTGTGTATGTAAAAGAATCAGTAATTCCACCACATTTGCGTCACCATAAGAATCTTACTAAAAGTGATGATGATATTTATTCTATTTATAAAACTCCAGAAAAACAAAGAAAGACTAAAAGTATTAAAAATGAAAAACAAAAGCATGTTTGAATACCATCAAATTTAAAATTTTATTTTGTAAAATTTTAATCATCATACTGTCATAAGTATGAAAAAAAAGAAAGAACATTTTTTTTTCTTTTGAAGTTAATGGTCTTTTTATATTTTTCAAATTTTAAATTTTGTTATAAAATATATAAATGTATTATATATAAATGTTAAATTGTTTTCCTTTTGTTTGTTTGAAATTTAATGTAAAATGTTTTTCAGTCTAATTTGGCAATTTTCAAAATAATTTTATAATTGCTATCATTTTACTATAAGCTATTTTATATTAGTATTATAAAAACATTGATAATTCTTTAAAAATAAAAACTTTTCAAATATTTTGGATTATTTAATACATTTTTTTATTTAAATATATTGTTTGATTTGTTGGAATTGTATATTTATATGTATATATGTGTGTGTGTTTGGATGTTTGCTAATGGAAACTTAGATAATAGCACAATTTAATATAGACCCTATTATTTCATATTGAAAAACATAAATATAATCATATTGAAAACAAATGAATGCCCTAAAGAATATAAGACACTAATATTTTAACAATCTGATATTCAAATTTCTTCCATATTATTTTAATTATTTATAGTTTTATAACAATTTAAATTATACAATTTGTATTAATATCACTATATTTTTTTTTTCTCATTTAATATTAAATTTCTTATTTAAAAAATGTATAATAAAAAAAGTTTTTTTTTTATTTTGAGTGCAATAAAGATGTTACAATTTTCATGATTTCATCTTAAGCAAAATGATAATGAAACTGCCATAGATATACTAAGAAATGTTGATTTAGATTAAGAAATATAGATTAGGTTAATACTTTAGGTTAATGGATGTAAACATTTTAATTACATCTGATTTTAATCTATAGGTTTTTATTTCATTTTTTAATTATTTTTAAATTTAATTTTTTGTTAGAAAATAAATATATTTTTGGAACAATTAAAACATTGAATTGTTTTACTCTTAAATTTAAAAAATTTTTAACTCAACTCTAACATATGTTAAAATTATTAAATGTAGATATTAAGAAATGAAATAAACTAAATAATAAAACAAATAAGTATGAGTTTATATTTAAATAACTAATATATATATATTTATATTTTTTTCTAATTATTCAAACTGTTTAATTTTTACGATAGCTTGAAAATAATATTTTTTGCTTTTTAACTATTGAATCAAATTAATTTATGATTATTATATTGGACATTAGACCTTAGATAACTATATTCAGAAAATGTTTAGTAAAATTATTTTTAAATACAGAAATAAATATATATGATATCTGTAAATATTTTTTGCTATTTTTGATATGTTGTTACGCAGCACTACTGCAAGGTACACTTATGAAACATGTGTTAATTGAAAAAAATTCAAAAAGTTGTGTGGACATTCACAAAGTAATTAGTCATGTTCAATATGAGCATTGTAATGGTATCATATCAATATTCAATTTGTTGCTACATGTTGCTGAGCATTTCATGGTCAATTTTAGTACATAGATTTCTGTTGGTAATTCCAAAGAACTTGCCAGACAGTTGTTTTCAATACATTAAATTTTGTTTGTTAAAACTGGCACGTTAAACAGTTTTCTAATGGCCAAGATTTCTAATGTAGAAACAATTGCCAAATAGCTTCAGCATGCTTTTCATTTATGGACAGTCTGTTAGTATTTTGTGTTCATGCAAATAGACATCATTAACAAATTCTTAAACCAAACATAATTTACATTTATGACCTGCTTAGTGGAATCTTCCCATGCTTTCATTGAAACTCTCATTGTACTGTGATGACATTTTTTGTTTTATAAAAATTGAGAGAGAAAGTGCTTTCTCTGATCTTCATTTCATGTTCACTTATTGTCAAATGCATCACTATCTGATAGTAAAACCTTACAATTTAGCATCTTGTACAAACTAAGAGTTGTTCATTCATATAATTTCTATCTAAACACACTCAAAAGATGGAACCATTGATTACAAACACTTCACACCTCTTATACTTACTCCAGCACAAAATTTAATGAGTGTTTTTATTCAAAACAGTTACTTATACCAATTGCAAGTAATAAAATATCAAATTAGAAGGAACATTTATGAACAACCGTTGTACATATATAATATATCAAAAATATATTCTGCATACATATATGTATCTATATATGTATTTATTGGAATTTATCTATTATATACTTATATTTAAGTACTATTTTTATGTTTAAGATTTCTTACTGTAATTATTATGTGATTAATTTCTAAATTAATACAATTATAATTAGTGAGTCATATCTATTATAAACGACAAAATTGAAGCATATCATATAGCTCTTATTTATTTTTACTCAGTTGTTTATCATCAGTCATTTTCAAATTTTTGTCAATATATTTCAAGTAAAAATTTAAAAAATTGTTACTTTGATTGATCATTCAATAAAATTTTTGTAAATAAATTAATTAATAATCTTGACCAACCATTCTTTCTGTTGTTATGTTGCATTTTTCTCTTTCTAAAATCTGTATTTCTATCCATTATTATTATTATTTTTATTAATACTGTTCTTATTTTCTAAATTTATAAATTTGAATATAAATTTAGCACTATAAGTAGAAGTGGCTATTGTTGCTTATTAACAATATAATAAATTTATTAGTTGATGAATTTAATCTAAATTATACACTAATTTAGTGTATAATGTAGATTAAATACAAAAACATTATGTATATATTTAATTTCTTTTAAACTTAAAAAATTTGATTTATAAAAGTACAGTAAAACCCCTCTAACTCAGACTAATGGGAAGTGAAGGTCATCCAAGTATATGAAAATCTTAATGGTGTTTTCTCCAGTAATATGGAAAACAAGAATATGGTTATACAGTATAGTAATTTATTAAAATCATCTCTGTACAGAAGTTTTACTGAGTAGAAATTATACTGCAGAATACATTATTAGAGGAAATGAGCTTAAAAAATTTCATAACATTATAGTGGAATGCAATGTATTGATACAGTACAATCTTTAGTAATTTACTGGCTACAGTAATATAATGCACAGTATTGTGAAGACTTCTGCATATTGAAACAGTCATTAATTATAACATTTCTATTGTCATGACATTTTAAATTACTGTTTCAAGTTAGCAGAGTTTACTGTATATGCTTTACACTTATAATTATGTGTACATTATGAATTTTGTTTTTATACATGATTGATATATATATGTACACAGTAACCACTCATTATTTTGTGTATGTCAGGAGACTAAATGAGTGATATATGAGGGTGAGTAAAAAAAGTGAGAATGAATTTATTACTCACAAAATACATTAGGCAAGGTCCAGCTTGATATGCTCTTTTTCAAAATTATTAAAAATTAAAAAAGTCCCTATCAATTGTATGCACTTAGCTCAATATGTCTGTCAGTTCTGGAAGATGTGCTGGAACCTGTCTTTTGTCATGTTCAGAACCACCTCTAACTTCAGAATGGCCATTGATAGCTGAAACACTGGCCCCCATAGCTACAAGTTCAGATGCAGGAACAAAAAACAATCACAGGGAGCAAGGTCCAGGCTTTATAAAGGGTGCAGCACACATTTGATGTTTGATAGTTTGAAGCACATTTTTCATGGTCAAAGAAGGCCAAAATTTTTCAATTTGTGGGAAACATAATGATCATTTCCTTCAACTACAGTGGAAAGGTTTACCAGCATGAAGTGCCCCTGCATACAATAGTTACTGGACAGTATCATGAGTTTTGAAGACCATGGTCAAGCACATCTGATGGAAAAGCCCCAAGCTCTATCCACCACAATAATGAAAGCCCTCACTGCAAAGTTTCTATTTGTGGGCTGTATTTCATCCAATAGTAGTTTAAATCATTAATTGGAATAAAATAAATTTCTTTCCCAATAAAAATTCAATGTTAACTGATTTTTTAAAAATTATTTGCTAAAGTGCTTTTATATTTAGAAAAAAAGAATACTGCAATATATCCAAATGAGTGATGATATGAGAGGTTACTGTGTATATAAATACAATAAGACCTCGCTTAATGTGGGGGATGCGTTCCTAGACAACAAAGTGCTAAACGAAACAGTGTAAAATGAGGTAATTTTAACATAGAGTAAATAGTAGTGATGTAACGAATATTCGGTTACTATTCGGTATTCGGCCTATTTTTCACTATTCGGCCGAATACTGAATAGTGATTAAATATTCGGTATACCGAATACCTAAAAACAGGAGTAATAAATAACAAAAACACAGTAAATTAATCGTTTTGGTATTTAGATTTAATGTTATTGAGTTAGTGTTGTTTGTTTATATTTATTTATAACTTGTAACATGCACAAAATAAAAAAGAAAATAATATTAGTCACATGTACTCACAATTTATAATTACAAAGATCAGCACAAGTACTGTACACATTTATTCGTTCGAGAATCGTCGCACATCCGAGGGTCTGACCCTGCCTATCCTTTCTAAGCGCTCGTCTTTGCTCTTCCCTTTCTCTTAGCTCTATCACTCTAATCCACGTATGCCTGTGCATACATCATAATACACGCTCACAATACTTTTGATTCGTCACTTTTCCATCGTAGAGTTCCCATTTTACAATTACGTGACTCAGCCTGGTGATAACGGAGAAAAGAGACAGATAGGACGTCGATATAAATCACAGTTATGATTTCACAGATTCGAGACAGCTCGATAGCCCGAACGGCCCCAGGCTTTCGCCCATGCACGCTAAGTGACTTTCATTACAAGCATTTAGCTTTCCGAAGTCTATGACGACAATTGTTTGGCATTGACGGGCGCGAATTTTGTGCCAATAAGCTGCCTCGACTCAATTTCATATTTATTTTCGCTTCGCGGTCCTTCTCTGTTCTTTTTCTGTTATTTACAAGTGTAGGTCATTTGATATCATCATTTATCACATACTTCCATGACACTCTTGTCTGTCGGCTACAACTGCCAAGAATTAACGTGATTGGCAAAGCGTAGTGACAGCGG